TTTAATTCTAAATCTAATTTTTGTTCGTCTCCTATTATTTTTAAATCTAATTCCGATTCTATTTTTTCTACTGAAATAAAATCTAATTCCATTCTACTTAAGAAATCTGCGACTATTACGTTTTTGCTACCTTCGTAAAAAACTTTATTAGTAAATTGTAAAATATATTCTATATATCTGAATTGTCTAGGAGATCTATCTGTTTTGGAGAAAATTGCTTTTTCAATTGGTTTATGATCACAAAAAACTTTAAAATCTTTTGATTCTAACATATATCTAAAATGTTTGATTAAAAGGTAGATTGCATATAATTCTTTATCGAAAACACTATAGTTTAATTGCGATTTGGTTAATTTCTTTGAGAAAAAAGCGATGGGTTGTCTAACACCATCTACTTCTTGTTCAAGAACACCACCTACACAGGAATTACTAGCATCTGTTGTAAGTGATCGAATGGATTCTTTTACTTCATTAAAACACTTTTCATAATCGATTGGCCAATCTTTTATAATTTTAACTTTATTTTTGTCTAAAAATGTTATAAAATCGTGCAAAGGTGCTAAAATTTGGGCGAATTTTGGAACGAATTTGTGATAAAAATGTATCATACCAACAAAACGTTGTAATTGTTTGAGAGTATTCGGCTTAGGAAAATTTTTAATACATTCTATTTTTTCGTCTGAAGGAAATAATCCTTCCGCTGAAATAGTAAAACCTAAGAAATTAATTTTTTCAACTCCAAAAATGCATTTACTTGGTTTAACGTTAACGCCAAAAGAGTGTAATCTTTCAAATAAAAAATCCAAATGATTAAAATGATCAATTGAATTTTTGCTAGCGACTAAAATGTCGTCTAAATAGACGAAAATAATATCTAAGCCTCTAGTAACTTCGGTAATGAATCTTTGAAAGGTATTGCCAGCGTTTCGCAATCCAAAAGGCATTCTGAGAAATACAAAGATCCAAAAGTAGTGGCGATTGCTGTTTTAAAAATATCTTCTTCAGCCATCGGAATCTGGTGATAGGCCCTAACCAAATCGATTTTTGAGAAAATTTTAGAACCATGACATTTAACATTAACGTCAGAAATTAAACTTAAAGGAAATCTGTCAGGTACTGTTACTTTATTTAAAAATCTGTAATCTCCACAAGGTCTCCAATCTTTTGAGTCTTTTTTTTGGACCATGTGTAAAACAGAAGTGACATAAGAAGATGAAGGTCGGCAAATTCCTAATTCAATCATTTGATCGAATTCTTGTTTAGCAATTTGATATTTTTTAGGATCTAAACGTCTAGGTTTACAAAAAGGTAAGTTTCCTTCTGTTATAATATGATGTTTAACGTTATGTTTTGCAGATAAATTAAAATTTGGAGATGAAAAAATTCCAGGATATTTTTTAAAAAGTTCCGTATATTTAGTCTCCACATTAAATAGTTTAGGTGAATTGTCTTTAGTTTTAAAATTAAAAATTTTTCCAATAGATTCTAATGAAGTTTCACTATCGCGTATTTTAGAATTTTTGAAATCCAAAATTAGGCCAAAATGAGTTAAGAAATCTGCACCTAAAATTGGTTTAGTTACGTTTGCAATGGTGAAAAGAAAAGGAAATACTCTTCGCAATCCAATATCGATATTAAGAAATTTTTTTCCATAAGTAGATATTGTATTGCCAGAAGCTGAAGTGAGAATAAACTCTTTATCTATTAATCCTTTGAAAATTTTGTTTGGAACCACGCTAATATCAGCTCCTGAGTCAACCAAGAATTCCAAATTATTTAATTTATCAAAAAGAAATAATCTTTTAGAAGATTTTCCACCTATACTACCTCGTTTTTTGGAATATAATTTTTGAAAGTTTCGTACATTAAGCAAGAAGGTCCTGCACATTTATATGCGTTCTTCTTATATTTACTGTGATAAAAACATAATGGATCATTCGATTCATTTTCCTTATTGAATTTACGAAAATATCTATTTCTGCTTCTAGATCTTGAAGAAGATCTACAGTAGCATTTTTGATTGGAATCATCACGTGATATGTGAGAGGATCTCTTATTTTCCAATATCATAATCTTTTTTTCTAATTCATTTTGTTTATTAATTAAATCACCCATCATTAATTTAAAATTTTGATTTAAATCATTTATTGATTTGGAAAAATTTAGAATTTCGGTATTTTTATTAATAGAAAAAACTTCGTCTTTGTTACCAGTATAATTAGAAAAATTAGAGGAAGGGGACGATTCCCAAATTTTATCGGCAATATCTAATAACTCTTTAGTAGAAGATTTTTCAGATACAGTTAAAGAAATATCTATAAATTTTGGGAGTCTTCTTCTCCATATTTTTAATAATAAATTTTCATGAATTATAGAATCACCTGAAAATCTAATTAATTCTCTATAAAAATCTGAAGGTTTTTTTATCGCCCATTTCAGCTCTGGATAGTAATTTATCTAACCGTTGTTCTTCAGAGAGAGAAAATCTATTTATAACTGATTCTTTTAAGGTAGAAAAAGCATTATTCTCTGGGGGATCAGAGATTATATCATAAATCTTAGCGAAAATTTCGGCTGGTAAATGTGCGATCGCCAAATGAAATTTACTTTTCTCAGAATGGATTTTATGGATATAAAATTGACTTTCTATGTACTTGAACCATAGATCTGGTTGATGCGCCCAAAAAACTGGCAGTTTAACTTTAGAAATGTCTTCCATAAAAATATTATTATCAACTGAGGTTTGAGGCTCCTCAACTGGCAATGTCAGACTGTCTGTAGGCATTATATTTGATCAAAATCGATAAAAGATACCAACAAAAACACCCCACTTACCCGAAAAAAGGTATCAACCATAAATAGAAATTGCTTTCTTGGGTGGGATCTTCAAAATATCTTGTCTGGTGTAGGAATCTTCTCTCCGGTATGGAATCTTCTGTCGGATGTGGAAATTTGTCGGGTGTGTAATCTTCTGTCGGGTGTGTAATCTTCTGTCGGGTGTGGAATCTTGTCGGGTGTAGAATCTTTTGTCGGGGTCTTAGGTTCTAGTCTTGGATGTTATTCCGGGATGCTCCAAAGGGGTTCCTTGCAGTTGAAGTGTGCTCGTTTGGGGTCACCAATTGTAGATAGCAGGAAATCAGAATTTCAGTAAATAATTATAATTTTATTTTAAAATATATAAAAACATACGAAAAATGTTGTGTCGAAGTACGTCTTGTCTTGTCTTTTTTTGAAATCCGTAATCAATCAATTTTTTTGTTTTCTTTTTCCATGGTTACCATCCATCGGATAAGTAGGGTGCTAATGTACGCAGCTATCGACCAAGATCATAATATATGTGATATTATAATGGTACCATCTGACATTGACACTTGACCAACCTCAAATAAAAACTGACTAAGAAACCTTAAAATAAATTGACGTAATAGTCAAAACTAAAGGTAAGACTATGTGGTGCTATGATGTCGCCACACGATATGCTACTTATTTCCTTACTTGAGATATTATTAATTCTATTTGTGTTCGTTTTTGTAAATAACTTTGTAATAAATACGAAAAAAACGGCACATGATATAGTTGTAAAGAATTTATTTACTTATACACTTCAACAGGACCACTTTTATTGTTGGAACAGCTGTTGGTAGAAGTCTTATTCTTGGTTTTGAGGTTCGATCAAAACAATCTGCTTTAAAATGGCGTGAACACAAAAATTAAGATATTTTGTCTCACAATTTGTTTGTTGCATGAACTCAAGCCACAACTTCGTTTTTTGAGAATCTTTAGGAAATCTGAAAATTGTCTTCCTGGGATTAATTTACATAATTTGTAAATCTAGAATCTTTAAGAAATCTGAAAATTGTTTACTTGAAATCATTTTATAAATCTAAATTGAACAATAATTTAATCATTTTAACGACCACATAAATGTCTTAAAATTGCATAAAAGAATAGTTTAAATAAAAGTATGTATACCTTATAAACCATGATACTACGCCTATGAGCACAGTTGATCGCAGACGCACTTACCATGTTTGTTTACAAATTTAAAACATTAAAAATTTTAAAAATCTTTAATGTGGTTGAAAATTGAGAGAAGAAAATACTTGCTTATGAAATGTAGATTATTCCTTTCTACTTTTAGCTGTGCTGCTATATCCACAAGACGAACAACTGACCATATTGTCTTGTTTGTCTTTTAACGCGGAAAATTTAAATAAAAATACTAAAACACTAAACATTTTTTAAAAATGTCTACAAAACATACGCTTGATAAAAGTTTAAATTAATACAAAAAACATCCAAATTATTAAAAATTTTAATCACTAAAATTCTAAACCAATTTTAGAAACCATTTATCATAAGATGAGTCACTTCCGTCAGATCGATTAGATTAACGCGGATATTAGAAGGCCATACTTTTTTAATTCCTATCAATATTTTAAATTAAATTTTGTTCTGTATTTAAATTTAAATGCATTTTTTATTTTCCCTCTAGACCACTAAATATTTTATAAATTTTATTCTTCATTATTGATTAATTACTGCAGAACTTTTTACAAATATTTTTTGTTTGTAAAATTAATAATAAAACAATTCCCATTTCTTGTCAACTTTTTCAGACATTTCATACAAAGTAGATTAAACAATATTTAACGTAAATAAATAAAATCGTGTCAATTAAAGCTTATTCAATATTAGCATTTTATCGCGAATTATTGTTACGCCGCTGCATAGAAGGATTATGGGTAATTCTAGAAATACATAGTTGTCGGCCAACCATAATTCTTCGATGAGTCATCATTATTTAAAAATTGTAATAGTTTATACGCCCACAGTTCCAACGGTGATATTTAGATAATTTTCACCCAATACTATAAGTTAATTTTTAATACAACGTACCATCTACATTTAGGTAAGGGTTTGGCAACTTTAAACTAAGAACGGCCATACCGAGCTCCTTCCGATGTTTTTGGTTGTTTAGAGTTGCAACTGCGCAGTACCCTGTCGATTTTCTTCGTATTTGAACTGCTGTTGTGCGTCGTAATCTGATGATTGTAATGATTCTGATGATGAGTGTCGGATTTGATGGAAGGAATGAAATCAACTCCACAGACACGTTCGTGGGCCGCTTTCTGTATTTCTTCGATAAAATCGGAGATGACTGGTCCGTTGTAGTCGTTAGGGCACAGCAATTTGGGCAGAGGTAGTAACTTGGCAATATTGCTTTCCCTATTACAAACAAAACGAAAAGCGCATTAAATGAGTTTACAATTATGAAACAAAACAGAGACAAGTCAAATAGTTTCAATGTGAGAAGGGGGATTAAGAGAAAAAGCTTCATTAATCATTATTTATTATCAATCATGTTATAAAAACAGCTCTTCCAAATGTAATTAGAAACAGTATAAAATAAAATAAATAATGACCCATTAAACGGAAGGTGGGGAAGGTATCTAATGAAAATGAAGACTATTCTTAAATGGGTAGGCTTAAAAAATAATACCAGTGTAAAGTTAGCAGCCACTTTCCAGCGGGAATATACCTTTTGGTCGCCGCGGTCAGTTTTACCCAAATTAAATCCTTTCTCTATTCGAAAGGTATAGACCACTTGGTCACCAAAGATTTAGGGTTCCAAGAAAATTATGGGGTTATTTTATTACTCTATAACATATATCGGTTTGTGACCTGTCGAGAACCAAAATAAAAATATTTTTCATCAGTTAATTGTCTGCATTCTTATTGAAAAGATATATTTTTTTATTTGAAAAGTGATTCTCATCTTATTCATTATTCCATAAAAGAAGTTTTGAGTTGCAATAGAGTCGATGATAAGGGTAAAAGAAAAAAGTTGTTAATTGTAAAAAAATATATATTTAGAAAAGACAAGGAAACAAAGTTAGGTGTATCATATAAGTGTACTCGTCGTGGGTGTAAAGCGACTATTGGAGTGGACACTTATTGAAATCTAAGAGTGAACACAACCATCCACCATCGGACCATTTAGATGTAAAAAAACTTCAAAACAAATTAAAAAGAAAGGCAACAGAAGATATTTGCATTAAACCAGTAAGTTAATTAATAACGGAATCCGAGGGGAAGGAAATACTTTTAATGTATCAACTACGGATATTGACCACATCAGACGAAGCATGGCTAGGGCTTGAAGAAGTATATTGCCACCTTTGTCAAAGTGTATCAGTGATGTTCATAGTGTACTGAAAGCAGTACAATGTTTTACAAATAAGGGTGAACAATTTTTATTATTGAACAATGAAGATTCACAAATTATTTTATTTTCATGTGATTCAAATTTAAAATACTTGTGTTCTCGTGATGGTATTTATTGCGACGGTACATTTACCCCGTTTACTGGAAACACCCGAATTACCAGTGGCGTCGAAATGTATTTTTCTGTGAAGAAAAACTGTTTTCTTAACAGAAATAAAATTACTACTAAATTTTTAAGAAACAAATAAAAACTGTTTAGACAGAGGATGAAGGGGTAAACTAAAATAAAAATCCTTTCAAAATTCATTAAAAAATCAATTTTTCTATAAAGATAACAGAATATTAAAATAAAAATAATGCCAAATTGTCAATAAATATAAAATAGAACTTAAAAAAATAACAAAATCACTTAGGAAAGGATGAGGGGGTCTAATTAAATAAAATTCCCTTAAAAATCTATTTAAAAATTAATTTGCCTAAGAAGACAATCCGGTATTGAAATAAAGTTAGTGCCAAATTGTTAAAAACTATAAAATGCAACCTAAAAAAATTAACAAAATCACTTAGACAGGGGATGAGGAGGTCAAATTATATAAAATTCCATTAAAAATCTATTTAAAAATTAATTTGCCTAGGGAGACAATCCGGTAAAGTTAGTGCCAAATTGTTAAAAACTATAAAATACAATATAAAAAGATTAACAAAATCACTTACAAAGGGAATGATGGGGTCAAATTAAATAAAATTCCTTTAAAAATCTATTTAAAAATTAATTTGCCTATGAAGACAATCCGGTATTGAAATTGTTAAAAACTATAAAATTTGGAGTGACGTAATAGGCATCGGTGACGTCACCAGGCAACTGAAGCCAATAATATTAAATGGGACCTTATTTTAACCATCAAAAACATCGTAAATCCAAAAAAAAAATAGTATGATTGAATAGGTATTCTTAATACCTTTCAAACGAGGTGTCACTTGATATAAGGTCCCATTTAATATTATTGGTTTCAGTTGCCTGGTGACATCACCGATGCCTATTACGTCACCTGTTACCACTAGTAGAGACACATACAATAGTTCATTTTCACCCTCCAAATTTCATCAAAAAGAGGGGGAGGGGACTTTTGAGAAGCACTGTATATATAATTTGTATAACAATAGGAAATTATTATTAAAAGTAAACGGTGAATGATCATGTCCACGAGATTCGGGCCTTGAGATCCCTTAAGGAAGTATTTTAAGCCCTTTACTTTATAATATTCACAGGTTTGATATAGAAAATTGTATTCCAAGATCTACAAATATTCTTCAATACGCAGATGATGTAGTGATCTACACAAGCCACAAACAAATTAACTATTACTATGATCAACTATTCAAATCTATGGAGAAGATTCATAGTTGGAGTCATGAAACAATATCTAAATCGAAGTCGGCTGTAGTTACTTATACGCGCAAAAGGTATAACCATCCAAATTATATGATAAATTTAACCTGACATAAAAAATCCTGCTTTAAATTTTTAGGCATTATTATAGACAGTAAATTAAACTGGAAGGAACATATACATTATGTTCAGAAAAGAACCCAAAATGCTGTAAATATAATTAAAACTTTTAGTTGTCATAATTGGGGCTCTGACCCAAATGTTAATCTAATGTTTTGTAGAATGCTGGTTCGTCCAATTATAGATTATGGTTCAATTTTTTATAATACAGCAGCAAACTCACATCTTCAGAAAATTGAACAAATTAAAAATAAATGCCTAACACTCTGCGTAGGATTCTTACCAAGCACACCTATAAATATTTTGGAAGTCGAAACATGTGAAAGTCCATTGGATCTAAGAAGGAAATTTCTGAGCGATAAATTTGTATTCAAAACATTCCACATTAATCAATAAATTAAGCAGATTTACTAATCTTCATCCTTTTGGAAAAAGAAAAAACTGCCATTATTAGTTGAGAGTTTTATTTCTACTTCAGGTGTCAGTAATGACCTACCAGTTTCAAATGGCGTACCGCTGTGGTCCAACCCATATCTGTCTCTTATTATGCCAGTTAATAGTTATATTAATAGTAAATTCGACGTTGACAACTTTTTATGAAGAATTAAATACAAAATGGAAACATTATGAAACACTTTACACTGATGGTTCTAAATTAAATAATCAAATAGGTTATCCCAATAAAGAGATCCAAATTTTAAAACGTTTGCCAAATTGTATGTCAGTTTATAGTGCATAAATATTAGCAATTAAAGAAGCCTTTTCGTTATGTTTAAATCAAGAGGAATTAAATTTTGTCATTTTCACAGACTGCAAAAGTTTAGTTCAAAAGTTTCAAAATTTTAATTTTAATTTAAAAGTTAATTATATAATTTTGGACATTTTAAAATTAAATTTTGAGGCAAGAAATCAGGATAAACGAATATACATATCTTGGGTCAAAGCACATGTAGAAATATCTAATAATGAAAAAGTAGACTTTTGGCTAAAACTGCAACAAAAGTTACATAAGTAATTTTAAAATACCCCTATCCGATCTAAATACTTGTTTCAGATATAAAAGGGATCAAAATTGGCAAGCAAAATATGTAGAGAAGAAAACAGGTAATTTTTATAAATCTATTCAACCTAATATAAGGGTAAAACCGTGGTTTGATAAGCTATCAAATAGATCACTAATCCAAACGATTAGCAGAATTAGAACTAATCATGCTTTATACCCTCAACATATGAAGCGAATAGGTATAATAGATAATGATTTGTCTATTTGTGATGAGATTGCTGATTTACAACATATATTTTTACATTGTATTCTAAATGATTTAGAATTTAATTTGTTATACCAAAACTGAATTAACAACAAAATTCAGTTACCTATAAATTTAAAAAAATCTACTGACATTTGACAGTATACGAGGATATATCAGTATATAACGAGACTATGGTGCTATAACTTCTTTCAGAGGTAACATTTTATAACCCAAAAAATGAGACATGAAAGCCTTATATTTAATGTACTACCCCGCAAGTAGGCTTTGATTTAACTTTTGACATTTGTTACAAATTAATTATTGAATTGTCAGTGTTTTGCGTACCCATCGAAAAATGAAAGTGGAGCAAAGATACGCGATAAAATTTTTTGTTCGATTGGGTAAAACACCAACTAAAACTTTTGAAATGATTAAAGGTGCATATCTAGATAATAGTTTATCACGATGTAGAGTGTTTGAGTGGCATAAAAAGTTTAAAGACGGTTGTGAATCAGTTGAAGATGAACCTCGTCCCGGTCGATCACAAACTGCGAGAAATGACACAAAAATTGCAGAAATTAACGACTTGATACAAAATGATCGCCGGATTGGCATAAAACGAATTTCTGACAATGTTAATTTGTCTTACGGTACCACTCAAAAAATTATTCATGAAGATTTAGAGTACCGGAAGATCGCGGCAAGATGGATTCCAAAAGTGATGACCGATGAACAAAAAGCGAATCGAGTGACAATTTGTCAGCAGTGGAAAAAGCAATTGCAACGTAACCCACAGTTTTTAAATAATGTGATTACATGTGACGAAAGTTGGTTTTATCATTACGATCCTGAATTGAAGTCTCAAAGTATGCAATGGAAGCATAAAGGCAGCCCAAGACCGCAGAAGGCCAAAACTGCTAAAAGCTCTGGTAAAGTGATGCATCTGATTTTTTTTGATAAATTTGGCATTATTTACGATCAAATTGTACCTAGAGGACATACAGTAACAGGGGAGTACTATTCTAATGTACTTCGAGGACCCTTAAAGGCAAAATTAAAGAAAAAAGGCCGCTTTATCAGGACTTTGGCTGGACGCTGCATCACGACAATGCTCCGGCTCATAGATCAATTATTTGTCAACGAACAATTGAAGAATTAGGGGTTGAAATTATGGTTCATCTCCCCTACTCTCCTGACCTTGCTCCATGTGACTTCCATTTGTTTCCTGAAGTCAAAAAAGAATTGAGAGGTAGAAGATTTGAGTCGGATTTAGAGCTCAACAACGCTGTGATGGGTATACTAAACAGACTATCAAAAAATGGTTTCTCAGAAGTTTATGATAAGTGGATAAAGCGATGGAATAAGTGTATTCAACAGAATGGAGAGTACTTCGAAGGATAGTTGTTGAATTTTTTTAAATAAATGTTTCGTTGTTATACTATAGCACCAGTCTCGTTATTTTCTGATACATCCTCGTATATAACATACCTACTCTATAATTTCGTCAAAACACTCAAATTAAAATTGTAATTAGGAAATAGAAATAAAACATGTAAGTAGAGATGCTACCATTAAAAAAAAATTGTACACCTGACTCGAAAAAAAAGTTAAGAAAAAGAAAAAAATGAAGAAAAAACAAAAAAAAGTAAAAAAGTAAAAAAATAAAAAAACAAAAAAATAAAACAACTAAAAAAACAAAAAAAAAATAAAAGGAAAATAAAAAATAAAACATTTAAAAATGTAATTTTTAAAATAATAAAGTTTGTTATACGATGTTTTTATTTGTTCATCTGACAATTGACTGGCCTGTTGGTTTATATGCAGTGCCACTAAAAAGATTATTTAAGTTTTTTAGGTTGTATTTTATAGTTTTTAACAATTTGGCACTAACTTTAATTCAATACCGGATTGTCTTCCGAGGTAAATTAATTTTTAAATAGATTTTTAATGGAATTTTATTTAATTTGACCCCCTCATTCCCTTTCTAAGGGATTTTGTTAATTTTTTAAGTTATATTTTATAGTTTTTAACCATTTGGCGCTAATTTTATTTTAATACCGGATTGTCTTCTTAAGCAAATTAATTTTTAAATAATGGAATTTTATTTAATTTGACCCCCTCATCCCCTTTCTAAGTAATTTTGTTAATTTTCTAAGTTGTATTTTATAGTATTTAACAATTTGGCACTAATTTTATTTTAATACCGGATTATTTTCTTAACCAAATTAATTTTTAAATAGATTTTTAATGGAATTTTATTTAATTTAACCCCCTCATCTCCTTCCTAATTGATTTTGTTAATATTTTTAGGTTATATTTTATAGTTTTTAACAATTTGATACTAACTTAATTTCAATACCGGATTGTCTTCAAAGGCAAATTAATTTTGGAATAGATTTTTAATGGAATTTTATTTAATTTGACCTCCTCATACCCTTTCTAAATGAATTTATTAATTTTTTAGGTTGTATTTTATAGTTTTTAACAATTTGGCAGTAACTACTTCAATACCGGATTATCTTCTTAGGCAAATTAATTTTTAAATAGATTTTTAATTGAATTTTATTTAATTTGACCTCCTCATCCCCTTTCTAAGTGATTTTGTTAATTTTTTAGGTTGTATTTTATAGTTTTTAACAATTTGGCACTAAGTTTATTTCAATACCGGATTATCTTCTTAGGCAAATTAATTTTAAAATAGATTTTTAATGGAATTTTATTTAATTTGACACCCTTGTCCCTTCTTCCTAAGTGATTTTGTTATTTTTTTTTAAGTTGTATTTTATATTTATTGACAATTTGGCACTATTTTTATTTCAATATTGTTATCTTTATAAAAAAATTTATTTTTAATGAATTTTTAATAAACTTTTGAAGTATTTTTATTTCAGTTTATCACTTCATTCCTCTCTCTAAACACTTTTTATATATTTCTTAAAAATTTAGTAGTAATTTTATTTCAACAAACTGTTTTCTTCACAGAGAAATACATTTCGACGCCACTGGTAATTCGGGTGTTTCCGGTAAACGGGCTGCTGGAAAGTGGCTGCTATATAACCACAGCTTATACAATACAACTCCACAACTCCGTGTCGGCGTCTTTGATCTGGCGGTCGAGAACCAAGCAAGACGGAATTGTGCTATCTCTGTTAGATTCGAGGGAAAAGTCGGGCCCGGATTAAACAATTTTTTTATTATTGAAAAAATTGAAAACCTTGGCGTAATAAGGTTGGTTACATGCCATATTAAGTAAGTTTTGGGAAATTAAATATTTAATTTGTTTTAAATCTGTCAAATATAATTAAAAAAATTATTTAAATATAAATATTACGAAAAATAGCACATCTTTCGGATTAGAGGTAAAATAATTTGTATGTGGCTAGTAAAATCCTCGTTAACAAATGTTTTGAGCTAAAACAGTCACTTCACGACAAATTGTGGCTTGGATCCTTTTTACACCAAGGGCTTCAATTGTTAAAGAATTGTGTCACGCTCGTGGATGCAAATCAAGTGGTACCCCGTGTCTCTGGCAAGTGTTACTCTTCGCGCAAAGGGTTTATACCTAGATAAACGAATGCTTCGACTGAGGTCTGGGAACTCTGGTATTTTGGAATTATAAAGAATTTGTGCTTTTATTTTAACAATATTGGTTATATTTAGATGTATTCTTATTAATTGAAATACAGATTTGTAGAAGTAATACTTTGACAGTTTTTATTAATATAATATATTCATTTTTTATCTGACCATACCGAAGTAGGGAATTTTGAAACTTTATAGTAATGTGAAATTTGAATTACAATATTACACGATATTACATAATTAGTACTTATTTTAGGTAGGTACTAAATTTGTACTTGGAGAAAGTAATATCGATTTTTACAAGAAAACTTGAAAAGTAAATTAATTTAGTTCCTATTTCTGATGTAAAACTTAAACCAAGAAAACAAATAAATTGTAGTTTGTTCAACAAGGGTGGATATGATAGCCATATCACACAAAGACGAAGTTTGAGCACGACGTCGTAGGCGGAGTACTCAATCGTCTGATTGTGATATGAACATTCCACTCGATATGGTCAGTATATTTTTTCTACGACCCACTAACGAAAATCTACAAATTTAAAAAATTATTTTAGGTTATTTAGACAAAATAACTAATTTTAAAATAATTTACGAAGTTGACTAATTTATAAAATAAAATAAACATGAAAAATTAATTAGTCCTCGGCCTAGATTCGATCCAGGGCTTTTCGCGTGGAAGGCAGATGCTCTGTCCTCATCTTCACCGAAACTTTCAGGACTTTAGTTTTAATACTCGTAATTAAATTAGTATCATGTAGTTTGATTAAAATTATTTTTTTTTAAATGTGGACACAATAAAAACAAAAATGCTATTATTTATCGAGTCTACACAAAAATTTTAATGTATATTTAATATCAATAACTAAAATATATATTGACAATTAGTTTAACAGAATTGTCACTTATTTAAAGTTTTTTAAATAATAGGAGTTGGGTGACCAAAATATGAACTGTGATTTGTAGATTTAATTTTGGTAAAGTGTTCTCACTACCTAAAATGGATATGAAATATATTCGTAGTTGAACGCAGTAGCATACTTTTTCGTTTTGTAGTATGTGCGTACGAAAAAGTATGCTATTGCCTTCAATTGAACGAATATATTTCATATCCATTCTAGGTAGTGAGAACACTGCAAAAAAAAATAAATTCGCCAATCACCGTTCATATTTTGATCAACCGACTGCTATTATTTTTAAAATTTTAAATAAATGACAATTCTGTCAAACTAATTGTCAGTATATTTTTTAGTTATTGAGATTAAACATACAATAAAATAAGTTATTTTTTTGGAAAACGTTAGCATGGATGACTAAAGGGTATTGGGTTAATTAATTCTAAAAGTGTGGTACAAATGTTATTTTTTGTAGCCAATTCTTTAAAATTATTTTGAAATATCTTTTCAATATTGAATATTAGTTCTACAAATTCATCATTTGACAGTTGCAGATTTCCAAATGTATCTGAACTGGCGTTATCATATGCCTTTAAAAATCAATAAAAAGAAAAATCATCTAATTCAACGTAATCTTTGTTATATTTAAGACAGGTATCGCAGGAGTGGATCCGCAAGGCTTTTATTAAAAGGTAACCACACACATACCTGATTAAATTTTTCTGTAACAATTCGTCTTTACAATAATTTAAAATACAAGGTGTTCCATTTAAAAAACATATATTTTATTTAAAACTTTCTTACGTGTCTACAACAAAATAATAAACAATAACGCACTAATGGGACACCCTGTATAAATTGTATTTTTAATAATGAAAATTTCTTATAATGTGGTACTTATCGGTTTGGGTCCTTGGGAAAACTAAAGAATGTTTTCTTGTAGGTATAACCCTTATTGAAACAGCTTTTGACTGCACAAACAGAATGATGTCTTTTTTTTTCACTCATTCTACTCACAGCTAAAGAGTCACCAAAATAATAACAGTACCTTTAACTCAAACAAAATCAACGAAATTACCTTACCTAAGTACGCTTCTGAACGCCAAAACCGTCTTTTCCCTTCGAAGGCGGAGCTTAAGCGATGCGCGACGAAATCGACGCAAACCGTTGCCGCCAAGAGAGTGTTTTAGCTGTATTATATAAGCTGTGATATAACTTCAACCGGTAAAATATATAAAGGACCCATTTATTTTTACAAAACATGCTTGAAATTTCTTAAAAATTTTCGGGTAGGGTATATAAATATCAACTTGGACAAAAAATATGACCCACCTACCTTATAAAATCAGATTTGACGAAATCGTGTTTTCGTAGTCGCATTAGTGCTTTCTCCTTATCGCCTTTCTCCCTATGACTAGATTTGGATTTGGTTTTGAAGATTTTTCTACCCCTAACGGATAAATTTATTCCAAGATAAGGAGGTGCTCGTGGATAATTTTGCTTGTAGATCATTTCAAAGAGACCGGTACTTGCGTTTGCATCTCTTCTTTTGTCAATTACCACTGTGAAATGAACACAAGGCTTTCAAAAAGTTCAAATGAAAAGGCATCTTAATATATTTCGATTAAACATCTGCAATTTTGTAACATTCTTTACACATGCGTCATATCTAAAGTGTAACCAGGATTTCTTTTAACTTTTTGATAATCACCAGCTATTCATTAATTCATTCATTCATTCATTCATTCACTCATTTGTATTGAAAGGGATCGTATTTAATTCCGTCCCCGTTGAATGGCAATATAAAGCGTCCACATATTCTATCGCTTTTGACCGCGGTAAATTCCAGGAACCAAAGTCGTGGATGCGCAGGAACAGTAGCAGAGAATCATCGTCATAGGAACGGGAATTAATTATTGAATGTCAGTGATTGAACGGGGAGAATGGAATGTACGTCATTGTTAAAAAGGTGTAGGTTTTGTTAGTTTTATTTGTGATAAAAATGTGTTTTTTTAAATCAATTATTATGTTTCAATTACTTTTATATTATTTAACTAGTTGATGGTTCACTATTTAGATTTGAATTTCACTGATATAAGTAATTTCATGCTTTTTCTTGACGGCATTTTTTGGAATCTGTCATAAAAAATTGCTTGCATTCCAATAACGAGTTTATTTAATTTTATGACTTATTTTAATATCTAAATCAGTGAAAAATAGCATCCTTTTAATATTTTAATTTAAATATTTTTGAAGTTGATTGATATTTTGTAGTTATACCAAGGAAAATTTGCTATAATTTTTATTTGACATTAAGATTATTTTTTTAGTCATTTTTAAAGTTCGGCAAGGGAAAAGTAATATTATATTAGTAAATTATGTGTTTTTCTAACATCAGATATTCACAGCATTGGCAGATCTAAGTTAAAAGTATAAAATGCCTTGTTGATTGATACTAACATTTTCGCCCGTGGCTGGGACAACATCGGGATAGGTGTCTCGGTAACTTAACCTATTTTGTCACCAGAATATTCAACTCTAGGTGGGTAGTAAAGCTGTAGAGCTTCCCCATTACCTTGTTCCTATTAACCCTTCTTCAGTTTTGCATCGAGTGTGTTTGAACCTAGTAATGCTCAATGTTTGTTATCTGATGAGTCATTGATCTTAAAATATTTATTTTATTTTTGCCTTGCAGTATTAGATATTGTTTTTTTTTTAAATAATGTATTGAATATTATTTCATATATTTTCCTGTGTTTAACTCAAATTGAATATTATTTCATATATTTTTCTGTCTTTAACTTAAACATCAAGTAATTAAATGTGTTTTTTTTATATATATACTTAATTTGTCATTTGTATCCAAATTGACGTTTGATTGGTTTTATGGTATTTATTATAACTTTGGGGTTTTCTTGCTGGTTCTTTCCCCTCATTTGATAAGTTAATTATTTTTTTTATTGCACCGAACCAGACCTATATTTAATCTTTATAAATATATTTTATATACTTATAAATTTTTACTTTCTGATTCTGTCATCTATAATATTTTCAATAAAGATTAGATATAAATCAATAGATATTTTCTTTTAACCTTTACCACTCCCTCAATAACACGTAAGTAGCCAATAGATAACGAATCTTTCAGTCTGTCACTCGTGGTGTCCTAATCACTGCATAGTCGATCACGCCGCCACTTTATTTATCATACTTTTATAAAAGAGAGAGAGATATATTAGTTAAGTTGTCTCTCTTTATTTCAGTTTGTTACACTACAGTATGTTCAATTCATTACAAAAAGCAAGCTTAATTATGCCTTTTTTTTAAACCGAACTTGAATTCAATTTCAAACTTAATATTTAAATTAATAAACTTGTCACATAAAAGCAAAGCTAACATTTATTAATTGCATGAGTAAGATTATAAAGTTATTTAGAATTTAGATTACGTTTACGTAAAAAAATGGCATGCTTTAATAATTGATTCAAAAGTATAAGTTTACGTTTTTAATGTTGATTTAACTCTCTATTCACTCCAACACAAGCAAAGGATGACCAAAGGTTTGATCTCGTTGCTCCAGCAGTGTCTATTAATGACGCATGTGTAGAGAACTAATGAAAGAACTGTATCGTACCTTTGACGAGATCTTCCATACACTGAGGACATAACCTACTAGTAACACTGGTTGACAAAGACAAATCTGGACTACAGTTAATCTCTAGTAACCACGGAGTACAGTCTTCACCAAGCATAAAATCAGCACCATACATTTCAAAAGTGTTTTGCCTTTTGTCCATGGTATCTTGACTGGCTAACATAGCGCACGTTATACTCTGCGCCATACCTAAAAATCAAATATCAATTTGCTATATTTACACTGGACCACTGAAGTGGACCAAAGACTTTATGCAAACAATAAAATATAAAATTGTTTTACCTGGAAAAATAACATCGTTCCATTTTTCCAAGCAGCCCGACTGCTTCAAGTACGCTTTGAAAGTGTGACAATCCCACATATTGTCGGTAGGTAGCGCCTTATCGCGTTGTTGCATCGGTGTGTACTTGCATTGGACAGCATGATTGGTCAGATGGAGAGATTCGTGGAAGTTTTCCAAACTGAATATCTGACCGCTAAATCTTAAATAACTTTCTCTAAAACCACACAAATTGGTAACTGTTGTGACCATATTAAGATAAATAACTACCCCTAGCGCTACTTGTTACCCCAGAGAAAAATTTATCTTAAAAAAAAATAAGTAAAGCTGATAATTATGTTGATAGAGTTAGACATGCAATCTTGATAATTATAGTTCAATCTTCTATATCTGTAAGGAGAAAGAGGAGCGTTGGTTACCCCCACAGCACTTATGCTTCACTAAGCTCATTGTGCATCCTCCAGGGACAAACAAAACCAGCCTCTTAGCTCTTCAAAGGCCTGCTGATTAACAGTCGCTAAGAGGTATCTGGGACCAGCCATGTAGCTCGTCCCGTAGGCTAATAACGTCACCGAGAGGCGTCATTATTATGGCCCATTTCTAGAAATGGTCATTTGGCTTTTTCCACCTCGATGGCAAATGCCCAGATGTAGCTCTTCTGTCTACTAGCTCGTCTGGTGAAGTTTGTGATTTTTTTAGCTTTTCTGTGGATTACTTTTGGAGATATGTTGAGGGAGAGCTATTTTGAAGCGTTTTTTCGAAAAATCTACATACTTTTCAGGTACTACAACTATTCAATAATGAATATAATAAAAATCAATTATTCACAACCTTTAGTCTGTTTCAAACGGGGTTAAAGGATTTATTTAACAAAATACGCTTAAGCTAAGTAGAGAAGGGTCAAACAATTTTACAAATTAACACTAAATTAGCATTTTGGATTTTTTGAATTTCACTTGAGTTAATTTTGTGGGCGGTCGAAACCACAATATATTATGGTGTTATAAAAATAATACAAAACCTACTTTAGATGCCTAAAATAAATTTAAAAAAAACGTTCAAAAAAAGAACAATGAAGGCATTTTTATATTGGATTTTTTATATTAGATTTTAATATTGGATTTTTATTTTAGATTTTTATATTGGATTTTTTTTGTATTAAATTTTTATATTGGATTTTTTTTGTATGGAATTTTTATATTGGATTTTTATATTTAATTCTTATATTGTGTTCATAAATTATTATATCTATGACGTTCATTGTATGTTTATACGTTCTTGAATAAAGCTTTGTTGAGTCTTATATAAAACATTCACATACAAAGTGTACCTAGACAAATTTACGTGATTTTGGTCCAATTGCACCACAAGTAGTTTAAAAATAAACATTTTAAGCGTGGCTTATTTGTTAACGACTGTCGGTGTAAATGGCCCTTAGATATATAGAGGTTTTTTAGATATTGTTACGCAGCACTCTACAGCATGCTGCGGTTGTCATAAGTAAAGGTACGAGTAAATGAAGAAGATAGAATAGTCCAAAAATGTCTCGAAATGTCATCCCATGTCAAAGAAAAATCCGGATTGTTCAAGAAGGTTCTAGAAGGGTAAGGCAAACTATATAAGTCGACGACCTGACGTCAGAGTCAGTTTTATAATATACGTTATAAGTTAATGTTATCAGTTGTATTATTATTGTAAAAGTTGAGTTGAAATAAATTGAGATACCAAAAACCAGTGTAACATTGGTGACAGCGGTGGGATATAAAATAAAAAAGTTACCCACACGGAAAAAACAAGACCAAATAAATTATTTACTTGAAAAAAATACAATTGCCATAGTTATTTTATTAACTATATCAAAAAATAAATCAATTACCAAAACTAAAAGTATGTTTCTAAATACGTATTTCTGTCACAAGTAAACAAGTCTCCTAAAATGAAGTTTTTTAATAACCCCCAATAAACAGTTAACTTAACTTAGGCACCATTTTGCCTACGACAAATGAATAATGTTTCTGAAACTGCTTTAATAATCACAGAATCACATATATTTATCATAAGTTAACTTTTACTTATGGTCAAAAAATATTCATTTATCGCTAACGAACGCTTTAATACGGTAAGTTCCGGCCACCACCGAAACAGCAACGAACTAAGAGTCGATTAATCCGATTTCATTTTTGTATTGTCTTTCCTACCGAACGGTCACAGCTCATGGGGGAAGCTTAAGTCGAGGTCATACACCTTTTCCACGGAATGCTATGTAGCGTATAGGGTTTTTGCGATAAGTGTAAGTATAAATCAAAGTAGGTATTCAATATTTGTTCATGAATGTATTAAAAACTGTGCCATTTTAAGTATAATAATAATAGTATGCCTATGCACCCCTTTACGAGTGAATTTTAATCCCAAAAACAGAGTTTGTGCAGGGTAAGGACGGAAATTATTTGTCATTATTATGTAAGTACCTTATGTATTTTTGGATACATCAATCGTGTATTTTTGACTGCGATATTTTTTATTCTCTATATATTGTCCCTATTCATATTTTTGTAAAAGTTGATATTATTTTAAAACACCTGAGTACTCAAATTTTTATAAATGTCATTCGTACCTATAGCCTATTAAGGTAACAATAAGGTTTATAAATTATAATACTTTCTACATAATAATATTATTGATAAATAATGTTTTAAAGCCTATAAATAATGCAAGAAGATAAATACATATATACCACCCACTAAAACAAAAATCACTTATCACAAGAAAACAGTTAACTAGCGGCAAATAAACCAAAACCAATTAGTAGCATAAAGTGTACCTATAGTAAGAAACTAAAGTACACTAACCACAAGTAAACAGTTCACTAACTGTAGGTCGTTTAAAAACTAATTGAACTGTTTACTAACCACAGGTGACTAATTTCAGAAATATTGTTTTACTTACTATAATTAAACATTTTACCTGTCCTATATAGTATACAACTTTTTATTTGCGGTAAGTGAAAGTTCGCTAACGGTTAGTGAATTTTTTTTCCTTGCAAGCATTCTATTTATGGTAAATACTAGATCCACTGCATACGAAACAGATATGGATACTTCAGGCCCATCAGCATGGTTTTTGAAGATGGAAGAGAAAAAAGTAAGGCGAAAAGAGGAAAAGGAAAGGCGTAGGAAGGAAGAAGAGAAGGAAAAGGAAAGGCATAAGAAGGAAGAAGAGAAGGAAAAGGAAAGGCATAAGAAGGAAGAAGAGAAGGAAAAGGAAAGGCATGAGAAGGAAGAAGAGGAGGAAAAGGAATGGCGTAGAAGGGAAGAAGAGGAGAAAAACAAAAGGCTGGAAGAGGAAAAGGAAAGACACAGGAAGGAAGAAGAGGAGGAAAAAGAAAGGCGCATTAAAGATGAAGAAAAAGAGAAGAGATACGTAAAAAAGTTAAGGTAGAAATTATGAATGCTTTGCTACAAATCCAGGAAACCTTCAATCAAGAGATTAATCAGCTTAAAATTAGAGTAAATCTTTTAGAGTACGAACAAGAGCATTTAAAAACTAATTTAGAAAAGCAGCAAGAGCATTTAAAACTAATTCAGAAAAACAACGAGATAATTTAAAACAACAGAAAAAAGCTATAGTAGAGTTCGAAAGGCAAATTGGAACTGAACTAGTTGAGTTAGAAAGAAGCCTAGCAACAGAGAAACTGAAAAAACTACCTCGTCCTCATCTGTAATCGAACTAAGCCATATTTAAAACCCAGTTTCACAAATCCATACTAGCAAGATCATTTAGCCACCCACGTTTGACGGTCAGACAATATGGGAAACGTATTGCCTCCAATTTGAAGCTGCAGCTAGAGCCAATGGCTGGGCCGAAAAGAAGAAGGCGGCTGCATTGATAGTATCGCTGTAAGGACAAGCAGCAACCATTTTACAGTTACTCCCTCAAGAAGAACCCAGTTATTCATATCTCGTCCAAGCTTTGGAGACAAGATATGGCCAGCAACATTTGACACGGGTATTTCAAACCAGCTAAAGGTTCGCAGTCAGAAACTTAATGAGAGTCTACAAATCGACATACAAGCATTTATTGATGGACTACAAGATGTGTAAATGCAGCAAGTCCGTCGTCTACAACATCACAAGACGCTAAGTGAGAAACTGATTGCAGCCCAGGAATATGAAGCATTAAAACTCATATCCAGATCTTCTTGTGCAAAAGTGAGAGAAATTAAATTCCAGGAAAGTTAGGAGGCCAATACTAATGCTATTCCCCAACCTTCTCTTTGGTAAATATTAAATATCTTGCAAAATATACAACGAAACAGCCAAAATAGAAGCAGAAGATGTTTCAATTGTAGAAGAATCGGGCACCTTCAAAGAACCTGTAGAAGCAGAGCTCGTTCTATAAGTCGAGAATTAGGGAATGAGACCGGAAAGTCACAAAGATCAATCTTCCGAAGCCTGTCACGAAGTCCAACAAGAAATAGTCACAGCAGCTATGCGTCCCGAAGAAGCCAATCACCCACACCGAGCCGGCTTTCTAGCAATAATCAGAAAGTAGAGCATCGTAGAAGCTGTCTCCATAGCAACGCAGATATTTTCTCCAGGCGACCCTGTTTAGAACGAGAATGCCGGTACAGTATGGGGCTCGGAGAAACGGGAGGAACCAGTTGATAAAGTTACTCTTCGGGCAACCACTATCAAACCAGAGTGCGACGAAGAAGAAATCACCCTTGAAAACCTGAGAAAGGGAAGAAGAAAGATAATGATTTGAAGGTTGTTCGAAAATGGCTCAAAAATAAAGTTACACTTATTTGGCAAGAGATAGCCAAATATAGTGGAACCATTAAAGGGTACTGGACTCATTGAAATTTCCTGTATCTTCACGATGGCCTATTGCATCGGAAGTGGCGGAGCCCCGATGGAGTATTTGCAGTCCGCCAAGTGATACTGCCGAAATCACAGGTCAGAAATGTATTGGAGGAGCTTCATAACAGCCGTTCAGGAGGTCACTTTGGTACTAAAAGAACACTAGCACGAGTTCGAGAAAGATTTTATTGGGTCAATTGCCGACGGGATGTAGCAGATTGGTGTAAAAAATATGATGTACGCAATGACTCGGGAACGACTTAAATCCAACAACGATAAAGCAGAAGCTAGAATCGACAGGCGTGCCACAGAGGCACATTTTGAGAGAGGTGACCCAGTACAGCTGTGCAATTTTCAAGCATCGAGGAGGATTTTGTCAGAAATCGCAACAGAACTGGGAAGGCTCCTACGCCGTCCTTAAGGAAAATCAACTACCTGATCTACCGCATTCAGCTGTCAGCGGGAAGTTAATCCAGGGTAGTTCACATTGGAAAGTTAGCGCCATGCCGTGGTCCAAGTCCTTCCCGTTAGCTCTAACCAGGTCCCAGTAATCAAGTTATTCGGGGCGAATAACTAGAGAGAAGGGAGCAATGTTACGCAGCATCATGCTACGGTCGTTATAAGTAACGGTACGAGTAAATGAAGAAGATAGAATAGTCCAGAAATGTCTCGAAATGTCATTCCTTGTCAAAGAAAAATCCGTATTGTTTAAGAAAGTTCTAGGAGAGTGAGGCGAGCTATATGAAGGTCTATCCACATTAACCGGACAAGGCAAGGTCAAGTCACGGTCCGGCCACGATCATATATTTTTGAAAGCATTCACACTATCGGGTCATGTCATCGTTATATTCGACCAGTTTTTCCAACGCACAGCAGGCAATGGTGCATGAGTGTTTTTTCAGAGTATTTTTGCTTGTAGCATCGCGATCCGCGTTCTTAAAAAAGATTTTCAACTTCATTAAATAAAATCCCACCTATTTTGGATTTTGGAAGAACAGTAAAAAAATATAAAAAATAAAAGAAAAAGAAGATTCTGGGTACATCCAATACTAAAAAAAATCGGAAGCGAATTTTTTTACGTTGCATGAAAAACTTATGGATGATGAAACACATTTTTTCGTTTAATATAGAATGAAAATTGAAGAATTTCAAAACATATTTTTGACAATTAAAGATGAACTTCAAAAAATAGTACCACATTTAGGGAATCTATTTCCCCAGCTAAAAAACTTTCAGTATGTTTAAGATCGTTTTCAAATATTTTTTTTTTCTCTCTATCCTTTTCGATACTACCGACAGCCTGCTTTTTGTCTGAATGATTGGTCGTTGAGCGTCCACACTAGACGGTCTGTGCGTCAACGGACAGTCACAGTCCGGTCAAATATTATTAAAAATGATCGGCCCATGACTTGACCGTGGCTTGCTTGTTCGACGACCGGCATGTTTGAACGGTTAAAAAAAAATCTCATTTAAAAGCATTAAAATTATGACAAATCATTTGTGATCGGACCGTGACTGGATCGTGGCTTGATCGTGACTTGATCGTGGCTTGACCTATAGTGAGAATAGTCCTTTAATCGACGACCTGATGTCAAAGTCAGTTTTATGTTAATGTTATTAGTTGTATTATTATTGTAAAATTTGAGTTGAAATAAATTGAGATAACAAAAACTAGTGTAACAATATTATGCATACAACCTAGGAATGAACTGCCAAATTTCTAGAATAATTAATATTTACTCTTTTGAAAAAACGAATTTACTATTCTTATATAAGTTATTAATTGGTTTGATAAATTGTCCAGAACACCTTACTTTATTTTACTTTAATTTTATATCAAGAATTCGGAAATGACCTTTGTTATATGAAAATAGACATTTAACAAATTATGGTCATCATAATCCACTTATACGAATATATGTCGTGTTTCAATGATATATTTTTCAATTCATTTAGAATGTTTTAAATAATATTACACAGTTAGAAGAAATGTTTGTTTGTGAACTATTAAATTATTGCTCTATGTAAACTACTTAAACTTACTACTATAATTTGAATATTTTTTATGAAATGAATTGGATTGGGGCACTGATGTCGATTTTAAATCTTCCCTCCTACCTTAACAGTGTAAGATAGGCAAATTTTAACAAAAATAATTATTATCATGTATCTACCTATAAATAATATTAACAGCGTAATCATCTGAAACCTAATTTTTTTTATAAATATCGTTTATTACATTTGAATCAAAAATAGCAGAATTAGTTTTTTGTAAAATAAAATTTTATATTTAAATTGCATTTTTCTTTAAATTTGTCCTTAACAAAATATTTAAAAAACAATCCTTGGGATTCTGATCAAACAACTATTTGATCACAACTGTCAAACGTGCACATATACTGGTTTCAAACAAAGCCTCTGTTAAACGACGCCCGTTATTTATCTACATTGTATTTGTTTATCTAAGGCAGTGGCGTAGTCACGGGGGGGTGGTTTGGGGATTATAACCCCCCATGGAGTACCTTCGCGTCACCGTTTCCGTTATGTAATCGGCTCTGATCGCTATTAACTGTTTACCTAGCCTAACCTAACCCCCCCATAGTTCTCAGAACCCCCTCCATGAAAAATTTCTGGTTATGCCACTGATCTGAGGACACAATAGTCGTTTTCTTTTTACAACTAATCTGAGCTAACTTACATCGACTAAGCTGAGATGTACGTTCTTTTTATGATTGTAAGTCAGAATCTTTCTTCCCCCCTTACCGATGCTAAGGTGCACGGTACTTGACGTCAACCATAAACCATCACAGAAAATGAGTGTTCTGTGCATCATATGAACAAACATATCCCATGAATTCATTATTTTAGAGAGAATAAAAGACTATGATAACAGGGGGTGAGATTTGTAGTGTTGAATGTTGAAAAAATCATAAAATTTGAATAAAATATGGATTGTTTTTAAACGGATGACATGGGACACGTCACCTGTCAACCAAAATTCGCGTTCTTTTTACAGTTAAGCTTAGATCAGAATCTAACTTTTAGTTAGTCAAGTATGCTTGTAAAAAGAAAACGACTAGTGGCTTTATGTTCTCTCCCTTTTCTTTACTGTCATTTCAGTCGTACCAACTTTTACATCAAAAACTATAGATAACCTAACAAACTAAAAATGTACACTTTATATCCAAAAATTAACCATTTAACAGGAATAACGTCACAAGATAATGCATTTAAATTATCAGTTATATGATTTTTGTAGCCAAGTTGTCACAATTCAATAAAATTATCAGTGAAATCAGTTTTGTAAAAAATTTCTCTGGTTCCAAAATTTTTATCATACCAGATAATTTGACAACTAATAAAAATGAAATAACACAGGAATAACGTTTAGAAAATTAATTAACATTGTACACAGTGAAATGTGTCAAATATACATAGCCAAATCCGATTTAAATACAAATGAATTGTGTGTTTACAAATTATAAAATGCCTACAAAAAATTCTTAAACAAACTCGATTCTATCAAATAATAAGAGATTTTTGAAGATTCAGCTCTTTACATCATACAATTATTACTTATTTTGGTATATAACTTTGTTGGATCTACCTGTATATCCAAATCGTTAAAGGCTGAACACATGTAACTAGAAACCACTGTCGAATATCGAACTTGGTCTTGTAAATAATCATCGGCCTCTCTAAAAAAATACTACTTTTGAATTTTTTTTAAACTTTCATATCAACAATTCGCAGTCTTAACTTACCTATATACTTCTGAACGACATATTTCATTTTCAAATTCATCACCCTATCGACATCTGATACGCTTTTGACCAGGTAGATGCCGCGGCCTCTACACTTATTGCCCGGTTTCAATATCCAAATGTTTTTCTTACCATCTATCTCGTACTGGGGCCATACCAATTTAATTTCCTTCAAAGTGGTCTTAACATTAGCTGAAATTGGAGAGCTTAATATTATGCTTATACAACGTGATTCCTAACTTAACCGTGTATAGAAGCATTAAAATAAACATTTTCAAAAAACCCAAAAACAAGGAAGATATAGGAATACAGAAATCCAAATCCACTAATATGCATCAAAAAGTTTTTAGGTGTTACTTTCCTGAATAAGTGGATCGAGCAAAATGGATCAGTTGCGTGGCCACCGAAGTCACCAGATCCAAATTTTTGTATGAGTTTTATAACAAAATAATTTACAATACGCCTGCAAACACGCAGGAAGAATTAATTGCAAGCGTAGAGCAGGCAGCAGGAACAGTTAGAGAAAAACCCTTTTATGTACCGTTACGAAATGGTGAATGTCTAAATTTTATAACATTCTTAAATTTAAACATAGCATTTCCTAACCCGCCCCTGTTCAAGTCAGCTGCGATCAATCCCACGCATTCAAGATTTAATACAAGCTAAATATTGTTTCTGCAAAACGTGATAAATGGCACGTACGCCAGAGGTGCACGAATCCAAACCACATTCTAGCATATACTTTATCTTTTGCATCGCAGCATTTCTCTCGTTCTCTGGCTTAATAGTAATTTCTAACGAATTTAAAGTGCTGATGTAATGCTTATCAGTTGGAGACGCCCTCCATACACAAGAACTGACAAGTTGTCCCGCATCGCCTGTTACGTTTCAATATATTTTCACGCTTATCTTCACTACACTTTCGAACTTCGAACCGTCAATACACATCGCTCTCGTAATTCCAATTTTACACTTCGAATAGTTAACATGCCTCGTGGTCGGAGTACTAATATCGTTCTCTTTTCATACTCCACTTTCAATCTTTGACACGACAGAATGCCTGGGAGTTGGCACGTATTTCATTCTCGCTAAAAACTATTCACTTTATTTTACAAACATAACTACTAGCAATTTTTTTTATTTTATGACTACTAGCATGAGGTTCCTACTAGCAAGTAACTCGTACATTTTAAAAGTAGTGTAACTAGATAATGTAAGGTAGTACCAATATTAAGCGTATTTGGAAATAAATTATTACAAGTTTTGTGTTTTTGTGTTTTTTTTTTTTTTTGAAAATGTTTATTTTAAGGACTTTGTACACAGTTAAAAAAGAAATATCAAATCTTTATTTACATGTATTTTTTTTTAATCAGAATATTTCAATAGACGGACAAACTTCAAGTATTCATAATGGAAAATAAGAATTATTGTTTCCAATTAAAATAAAAATTGCTAGCTTTTCTTGAATTACAAAGTGCCTGATATTTGACAAATTAGATTCTACAAAGTAGAAATTGCAAGAATAAACGAACAGATGCTATCATTGTTAAAGGACGCAATTCTTCCACCTGTGTCTCTAACATCCGTATTCACAAACCATTTTTAAATAGTTACCTAAGTGTAACCCTAAGTGTAAGCTCTGTCCGGACTGAATGACTATAAGTTCGATGCTGCAGTTGCCTGGGGGTCGATTCTCGACTTTTATTCCCATGGGAAAATAAAATTTTCCCATGGGAATTCAGTTTTCGTATTCTCGGCATAAGCGGTGGAATATTTTCCAATGAGAAGTATGGGAAAATATTCCCCTGCTTGCGAGCATTGGAAATTGTGTTTTCCAATGGGAATTGTACTAGAGTTTGCGCATTAAAGTCGAAAATTTGACGAAAGACCACGCGAAAGACTAAGACATAACCAAAAGATTATTGGATATCTTGGATTTTTGGTGAAATTGTAGTTAAAACATTTTTTTTGTGTATTTATAAATTGATATTATTTTATTTATGTGGGAATATTATTTTTACCTCTCTTTCACTAAGAAACTGATTTTCTTAAATTAGTTAGAAATTGTGGGAGCTGCTAAGGGACTGGCAAATAGGTAACATAAATTGAGAAATTTGTAGTAAATTTAATAAGACCTTTTCGAAAATTTTATTATTTCCGTTAACGAAAGAATTTCTTATATATATAGTTTCTCGAAAATTTCGTTGCTCTTCTATACAAAAGCTACTTTTTCTTTTTTCAATATGTGAAAAGAAAAACTAAAAATAACTCGATAAGTTTTAATTATACATAATCGAATATTTTCACTTGTCCTCGGTCAAGCTAGCGATTGATCGGCACGGCATCTGATCCAGCGCAGAGGCTCGGCAGGTAATCGGTTACCCAAAAACCACAACAAATACAAATAATACCAACAGTAAATTTTAAAATATCTTTAATGTTATTGGTTATTTCGAAATATTCGTGAACTTAATATCAGACATACGTGAAACTATTATTTCCATGGGAATGTCTATTCCGACAAGTTCGAGAATTGCATAACCTATTACCATGGGAATATAAGTAGTGGAATCTTTTCCCATGGGAAAATTTTCCAATGAACTCGAGAATCGAGCCCCTGGTCAAAGTTAAAAGTGTGACAAGCGAAAAACACAGTTTCGGTCGAGGTCGTCTGATGCGGTTGCCTGTCTCGGTCCCCTGTCTCTCTCTCACTTTCCCAAATGGAACTTTAAGGTTTTACATGTGGGTAAATTTAAAGATACTTTACTAAGTAAAATGGATGTCCTTAGCCAGGGTTTATACTTTATATAAATGCATGTTAAATCAATTGTTTAACCTCAAACGATACAAATAGCTAATAAGTGTTTGAAAATCACAATAAATGAAAAGTTCAATACGATCACTTGAAATTTGTCGTTGCAATTTATTATAGACCACACTGTATTATTTCCTTAAAAAAATATATATATATATATATTATGTTTCTACAAACAATAGTGTGGGTAATAATTAAGGGTTTCAATACTCCAGTCAAAGAGCTCGCAAGTGTTTTGATAATTGAATAAGTTTATTATAATATACAGTGTTGCCTGATCAACATTTTCTACTTTTATCTGCCACTGGTTTCTTAAATACGTTTTCCACAGAGATTGCTATACAGTGTGTTTAGAGCTGTATCGCTTATTATAAAAGACAAAGCTATATAAGTGTCTACCTACGTTGTCAGAATATGGAAATATTTATTAGTTTTACGAAAAAAAGATATTTTTGATAGAAATTCTGCATCACTTATAAATTATAAATGGAAAATCCATTTTTTTAAATATTTTGTAGTTGTGGTATAATGACACTAGGTGCACTAAGTACAATACACAATTAGGCATTCCAAACTGAATGGCTACCAGTGGGTTTTGACAGGTTATGATATGGCAAAATTATGGCAACCCTGTAGGCCTGGTGATTTGACAAGGTCAATAAAATAGATAGTTATATAGATTGATCATCTATATTTTTCAAAATAAACATAAGCTTATGCCTTAAACTAAAAATGTAAGCAATTATTATTTTTTAAATATCTAAAGGCTGAAAATTGGTTTTAAAACACATTTTGGCTAAACCGATTCAAATTTCTAAATATTTGCCAGGCAATATGGCCGCTCGCAAACGTCCAGCTTTCAGCAATCTATATAACTATATATGTATCATTGACCCTGTTAATGACAACATGACAACAGGGTTGCCATATCTAAACTGTCAGTCCCCACCAATGAACCGGAGTGGGGTAGAATGCTTGTCAATAGGCTTTACATGCGACTCTATGGGCAAAGACAGGTTATTTTTCATCTCACTCGGGAGTATTTATAACAACCATTTTCTATTTCACTTTGTTATTGTCTGATCCACCAACATGTGGATTGAATAATAACAAAGTGAAACAGAAAATGGTTATTATAAATACTCCCGAGTGAGATGAGAAATAAAAATGGCTGCGCCCATAGAGTCGCATATTGTTTTATTGATACAATATGCACATTGGCTTTCTACCCCACTCCAGAGTTCATTGGTCCCCACTGGTAGCCATTTCGACAGGTCGTTGGAATGTCTAATTACGGAATACAGATGACAGGCAGTTGACGTTGACGTCAACGTCAAGGGAGGAAATCGAAGAAGGCAAGAGCGCGGAGCGAAGGCAGAAGCTAATTAATTAAGCTTTTAATAATTAATATAAATATACAAATGTGTTAATAAAGATATGTAAATAATCATCACCGAATTATTATTACAAAAACATTACAGTGTTATAGAGAGAAAATAAAAAATAATTATTTGTGTTGAGGTGTAAAGTACTTTTAGTTTTCAATATAAAGCAATATATGATTTAAAATTGTTGTTAGGAATAAAAAAAGTATTTATAAGTGAAAGAAACAGTCCCTCGAATCATAAAGATTTTTATTTTTTGGAGAAAGAATATGTTGTGAAATATTATTAATAATTAATTGTCCATTATTAATATAATTTTCAATTTTTGATATATTTTTTTTATGTTTTACAAATAAATGTGTCTATTATTAATAAGTTTAACATTTAACTATAATACTTTTAATGTATTTAAATGAAACACTCAGTATTAAAAATTAAAAAAAAACTTGCCCGAGCCTCCCAATGGAGTGGTTGGTTCTCTATCTAAAATGTATGCAATATTTAATACTAATAATATAATTTTACTCGAAAAAATATATTTTTAAATAAATTAAAAAAAAATTAATGTCTGATTAAATTAAATTTTCTGCTCCCTGCTATCTGCTGCTATCGCTGTCTGTCTCTGTATCCTTCTATTCGCTGCTATCTATTATCGCCTGCTATCGTCTCCTATAGGTGCATTTTGCAAGCAGCGATTGTGGCGATGATCGTTGAACGATAATCGCGTTGAATAATCGTTTACAACTGCGATCATATTTGCCCTAAGATCACGTGAGGAGATAAACTCACTAGCGTCTATTGTTATTATCGCTCATAAGAAAACGGAAGTATGTAAAGATCGCCTAGCAATAGTCCGCTATGATCGCTGTGCGATTATCGCTCAGCGATCATCCCCACAATCACTGCTTGCAAAACGCACCTTAACTCTGTATTTTATACCATACTATCTAGTATTTGCTATCGCCTCCTGCCTCTATATCTATCCCTGTAACGGAAAAAGGATACAGTGAATTTTTCTCCTTTTTGCATTATTTTATTTTAATTTTCTTTTTTTGCTTTTCTTTTCTTCTTTAGTAATTTAATTAGTAGTAATATTAGTAAACATTTTGTTTATCTTTCTCCACTAGATTAACACATTTTTCTCATTTATGTTCTAGCATTTCTAATGCGCTAGGGTAACCCACCCTCCACACGTTACAGATACAGATCGTTTACCACGCAAGTGTTAAGTTTTTGAAACAATCTGTGTTATATCATTCATCTCTAAAATATGGTTGGTTGTCAGGATAAGAGTGACAATACTGGACATTGATAATTAACTTGGAATGAACGAAATAAAACGTTAAATAGTTGCTCCCGGAGTTTTATTTATTAATAGTTATCTACTAACAATAAAGTCTAGCTGTTGTAATGGTAGACCTGTGACTGGATGCATTATCCTGATGCAAGATAACAACTTCAACGTTTTTTTATCGTGTAATGTAATTTTGGAATTAAATTAGCATAATAAGCACAAGTAATTGTGGCTTCCTTTTAAAGGAGATCTACTAAAATTACGCTTTCAGAATTAAAAAAAAAAACGATTAGCATGACCTTCTCTGTTGAAGGTTGCATATTGAAATTAAATTTTTCGGCAGTGGTGAACCTCGATGTATCCACTCTTTACTCTGTATTTTGGTCTCTATATCACAGTGATGGATCCAGGACGTTTCTATTATCAATAATCTTGTAAAAAAATGTTTCTTTATCTTGTCTATACCGCGTTAAAAGACGACTACAAATGTCTTGCTTGTGTGCATCTGTTAATATTCGTGGTAGGGTCCGATTATAATTACAAGAACACAGGTACGTCATCATTTAGTAAAGTAATTAATTGGCTATCGCCGCCTACTGGGGGTTTAGTGGAGTGTTAATATTATAGGAATATAGGAATTCTTTTTTTAAAGTAAACAATGTACTTATTTTATTTTTTAGTTTAAGATAGTTATATATAATATTTATTCAGAATTCGAAGGAATAGTTATGACGTAGCTGTGCTCTTCTAACTATAATCGGACTCTACCCATCTTGCGGACAATTTTTTCATGTTCATTTCGTTAGTAAGTATATTACCTATATACCACATGATACGAGAGACCAATATTTTCAACTGTCTTACAGTCACACGTCGATCCTGTAGCACGAGACCATGGACCATTTTAACATTTTCTTGTGTTGTAGCAGTTGTAGGCGTTCCACCTGCATATTTGTCTGTACACGACTGCCTACCATATTTAAATTCACGACGTTACTTTTCACTGTCATTTTAATACTTCAAATTTTCCTAACCTTTATGAATCTTTTAAACGCATGTATCTAATTACCGCTACTGGGTTAGATACAGCGCAAAGGGATTAACCCTCGTAATATAACCTTCAAACGAACTTTTCTTTCTAAAATTGAAGTAGGCCGAGATCGACGAAGACAGAGTGATAATTACGGATGGCTCTGAATTATTCCAAGGCCTACTTTAGAAACATTTTTATGATTTACTCCATGCAAAAGATTCACACCTGGCTACTACCCCCACACCCAATTCTAAAGGGAATACCAACTAATGTGATGCTTGTATGTGGATTTTCAAGTGATATAGAACTTTTTATAAAGAAAATTTTTCGCAAAACTATAATAGTCACAAAATTGTCTATATGCTGACACTTTAGGTAAACACACTATATTACGGTGTTTATTGATATAGAAAAAAGGCATATGAGAGGGTTCTAAAAGATTTGATGTAGTATGAATAGATAGGGTATTCCAGCGAAATATTTACAATTGGTTAGTATATGTACACTAAGGCAATATAAAGGTTCAGTCCGTAGTCCCTTTCTACAATACTAGCATTGAGATATACATACTGTATATTTCAAACATACGGTACCTATTATTTTATAATAATGAATATACTTTTCAAAATGGTTTGAATATGTAAACATTATAATAGTTAAAAAGGGAGTTAATTTTTTGTTGATGTTAAAAACAATGGCAAATAAATAAGTATATACCAATTTGGGCCCATGTTATTAGACCAATTTCGTTTTATTTTAGACCCAATTTGGATGTGCCTAAATATAAAATACCTTTACGTACCGACCATTTCTTTTGTCGACACCGCTCTAGTAGTACATTGTTCAGCTAATAGTCTGTAAACTCCTTGTTTGATGCATTGAAACCCTGTTAAAATGCATTTTACAGTATTTATTATAAGTTTATTTATTAGTTTCGTCGTAAGGATTTCTAATTTTTCGTAATTAGGTAAATTTCAATTAGCAACGTTTTACATAATATTTATTAATATGTTTCAATTTTTAATTTCAAAAATTAATCTGATGCTACACAGTGTCGGATTGAGTCGTCGATCTACCGGTCCAAAGACCGGTAGGCCCTCGTTCAGTCAATGGGAAATCATTCTTTGAGAAGAGCAAAGAATCAAATGCGATAAAACCACGTAATACGTAGCAAACTCGGAAAAGTATCAGTTTGCAAAGGGTTTTTTTGCTCTTCAATGAATTGGATCATAAAAAAAAATAGGTATCCAGAACCAGTAAGTCCTAGAGGTCCCAATCCGACACTGTAGCTAGTTTTATAACGACATTTTGCCGTATTATATAAATAATAGTGACGTTGTACAGCTAATTCTTAATAACATTTAATTCATTCTTATTTCAACCTCAGTTAACCAGTATTTTTGTAATTTAAAAAAGAAAGTTTTCTTTTTAAAAATAAGTTTCATTCTAAAATAACTTAACAACTGGCGCAGTCAGTAGGATAGTTTGCAGTTCGACTTTATGAAGCCACGGCATCGAAACCGATTCCAATTGAACGTGAGTTTTAACTCTTTGGCAACCAAACCTACCCGGAAACCACTGGTCCTCTTCAGAACTTCGTAGCAGAATTACCGCTGGGAGACTACTGATAAGTACCGAGTTTTCCTATTGCATTTTCCTAAGGTTAGTTAAGATGGATAAATTTTCCTGGTTAGAAGATTTATTCTGTTATAGATTAAGTAAATGAATTTTGAAATAGAAAAACGAAACTTACGAAGAAAATAATTTATTAATTACCGAAATGGCTCAAAATCAAAATAATGAAATTATTATGCAAATGCTTAAGTTAACTGTAGATCTGATTCAGACTTACGATGGTAATCCATCTGCACTAGTGCGGTTTATTGAAGATTGCCAATTTTTAGTAGATTCATACATCTGAATTACCTTTTATTAAAATCTAAAATTCCCATTAAAACTTTTAGTTGATACGGGTAGTATGCAATCAATATTAAATCCAGGTATAGCATAAAAATATTTTCCTGATACTATTTATCGAGGAACGACATTTATAAAAACCAGTGTAGGACAAAAAGAAAAGCAAAATTCAAAGCTGATGTAAAGGAATTTTCAAAATTAAAATCATCTTCTACGATATCATTCATATTATTCCAATTCCATAGTCACTTCGACGGACTTATTGGTCTAAATGTAATAAAAAATCTTAAATTATGCCTTGATTTTGAAAATAATATTTTAAAAATGAAAATACAAATTCCCTATTTTATAATTTAAATAGACAACGTTTTAATATATAAGTTGATTTTTAAGAAATTGCTGTAAAGTTCTCGTAAGCTATTATTCCAGCAAAGTAATTGTACCGACAATGCAACCTGATACTTTTTCTTTCAGAAACAACAGTTGTAGAACACAGTTTTGCAAAAACAGATTATTAATAACACTGATAAACGCGTAGAAATAGAGTTAAAAGAACCTTTACAAGTCATACCTTTAAATAGCTTTCATAAACAAAATTTTGAACCTTATCACATTCTTCGAATAGTACAGAAGTAAAATGCTTAAATCAAAAAATAGAAATAAATATGCTAGACAACGACTCAATTTTAGGTAACCCCGGAGACAATAACGAAGTTATACAAACGTTTGAAAATAAAAATAATGACGGACAAAACTTAGATGTTAGACACCAACTGCCAGACTCTTAGTAACCCTATAGAAAACAATAATCAAGAAACATATAGTAATCAATTACACTTAGAAATACATGACTTAGATGACAATAGTGACAATGAAATAATACACAGTTCACAAGAAAATCTCATATTAGGTATTCCCTTTACCGAAAATATAACAAATTCGTATAATCAACAAATAATAAAACAGAGTAAATTTGGGAATTTCAATATAACTAAAGAAACTCTATTCGAATCTCAAGCCCGCATATCTTACGAGATTGAAACATATTGAGGGCGTCATATCAGAAATTACTCCCAGGGTGATCCAAAGTTGACTTTTTTTAACTATGGATAGACGTCATTAAAGTAAACAACTTTTATTAATAACTTTTTCATAAAAACTCAAAACTAAGAAACCATAATTAATTCCAAAATGTATCTGATACAGTCCTATATAATTGTATGACTTCCCTAGAAAAATGTTTATTACATTCATAAATTGTAAGAACCATTCACAAAAATTAACTCTGCGGGGTAAATGTTCGAGTTCAACGTGAAAGGGATATAATTGACTTTCCCGTAGTTGTCCACACTTTCCTATGATTTATCCCACCTGATATACAATCACTCGCGCACTTATCCAACAACAAGTCCTTGACAACGTTATTTAAAATGTGTTCTTCTAAACGCACTTACTATTCAATTTATCATACTGAACAAATAAACACACACTACAGACCTGACTGAAATCATTACAATATTCGTGATTTATATTTGTAAGATAAACCAAAAAAACAAATAAACCTAGACTGGCCTATTAATTCGTTTAATTTTTCATACACAAGTTCAGGTTAGGATTTAAATTTAATAATTCTTAATATTTCTTATTTTTAAGTTTTTTTATAATTTATTTGAAAAAGATATTTATTTTAACAACTTCTATACACAGTGAAAAAAGTATCAACTTAAGACTCCTTCTGTATATATTTCACGAATACAAATTCAAACGCGTGTTTTATCAGGAATGTGTAATAAAACATAAACAAGAGAATATTTTAATATAACATATACAAAATAAATTTTATGTAAAACGACACTAAATGACGCTACAAAGCAAATGAAGAAAATGGATAATAATTAAAATTAAAAACTTACCATAAGCATTAGATAATGATTCGGTGAAATCATTGAATAAGCCATCCTCATGCAAAAGATGATAATAATTTTTTAAAAACTGGTCCCATTCGTGATCCCATACCTGCGGAAAATCTCGGTCGATGTCCAGATGTTTTTGTTTAGCTATATAATCGTTACACCTGAAATAAGACAACTCTATTATAGACCGTCAGATAGTGACTGATTTAGGTGCCTCATTTTCTATTACAAGCCTCGAAGAGGGTTGAAAAGTACATCCCGGGGATAACATATGGAAAATTCGATTTTCCTTAACAGAAATAAAAGGTGTTTTTTTCTCATATTTCCACGCAAGCCGTGTTCACTGAATGATTAGTTAATAGAACTTGGCATTGGAAAACCAATGGCTTGAGTGGTGCAAGTGGCTAAAGGGTTGAATTCATGGCGTAATCTTGTAAAGAAAAATCCATATTTTAACCGATTTTTCCACACAAGTCTGTCAAAAATATGAAAACACATCGTCACTAGCCCGAAAAACATATTGGCTTGAATGGCGCAAATGAATAAGTACATTTTAGAGTCTGACAAATTACAGAATTTTTATTTTTCAGTTATTTTTTCATGCAAGGCTTGCGTCGGAAAGTTGCAGGAAAATTGTATGGAAAATGCCACCATTTTCTCACGCTAGCCGTTTGTCATATGTTTAGAAAAAGTGATTATAAGACTGTATGATAAAAGGCTTGATTATCGGACATGGTCATCATATATTATATATAATTTATTTAACAAAAAACTGACAAAAAAATCTAGAAATTCCACAATTTTCCCATACAAGCCGTTTGGCATATGCTTAGAAAAAGTGATTTTAAGATTATATAACAAAAGGCTTGAGTGTCGGACATGGTCATCATATTATACATAATTTATTTAACAAAACGCTGACAAAAATCTAGAAATGTCCACCATTTTCTCACTTAAGCCTTTTCTCATAGTGATTTTAAAACCCTATAATGAAAGTCATAAGTGTGGAAAATGGAACATATTATTCATTTAAAAAAGATCTGTCAAAAAATGTAGAAATGTTTATGCAGGGTTATTATTTTAAATTAATAATTTAGCATATATTTCCTTCTCGTATAAGTTAAAAATAACGTTTTATATTATGAAAATAATGCGTAGGATATGGATCTTCATATTATGGTTTTTATATAAAAAAATATACAATTTATTTAAAAAGTATTGGTAATGAATTTAGTTAATTTTAACGACTACATTTTAAATGTTTATTACCTTATCGCACTTTCAAATGATTGTAAAAATTCAAATATTTCATTTGATTAACTAAATAAATATGTATCACAGTACTTACCTATTATTTCATTTGAAGAAAACTTAATTTAATGAACACAACAACTTGTCACTTCAATTTTGACCAAAAAAAGTTTAATTATAAAAATAAGAATAATTAATAACCACAATAATTATTTAATCCGACAATTTGTATGTTTAAGGGCAGATCTTTTCACCTCTGAGTAAATTTACATGTAGGTTTACTTGACAGATTAACAAACATTATTCCTATAGTTTAATCAGCAAGTAGTTACTTTCAACTTTACTCAGAGGTGAAAAGATTGGCCCTTAGTCAGTAAAATAATTTAATGTGACGATAGTCTAATATATTTATAGTTGATTTATTTCAAACACACTATTTACAATTTATTTATGACGTATTATTTAATTTATACAGTGTGTCTACTTAAGTTGGAACCATATGGAAAACATTTTTATTATTGATTTTAGGGAAAAAAGTTATTCTTGATAAAAAGTCCTGCATGACCCAAAACCTAAAATACAGTGATCACATATCAAATTTTCCAAGCCGTATACGAGGTTTGTCAAAAAATATGAATTTTGCTCAAGAGTAAAGTACGTTTATTTTTGACAAAATCGAAAATTTTCATTAAGAAAAGTTGATTAGAATTGAATATTACATTCAAATATGCAATTACACCGATCTATCTGAAAAAACAGATTTTCTTATTTTTTATAAACTCTACACTCTACACATTGATTGTAAATATCTGAAAACGTTATAAATTACGTTAGCTACTATAAACATGATACGCTTTCCTTTGTTGATGTTTGTGAAGAATTTAGCAAATTTCTTAATGAAAATTTTCGATTTTGTAAAAAAATAAACGTACTTTACTCTTGAGCAAAATTCATATTTTTTGACAAACCTCGTATACGGCTTGAAAAATTTGATATCTGATGACTGTATTTTAAGTTTTGGGTCATGCAGGACTTTTTATCAAGAATAACTTTTTTTCCTAAAATCAATAATAAAAATGTTTTCCATATGGTTTCAACTTAAGTAGACACACTGTATAATACTTACACTAACTAACATTTTTAATTTATTTATTACAATGCTCTATACTAAACTGCCCGACGATGAGTTGGGCTATTTATATTAGGTCCAACTCTGCTACTAGAAGTCTCTAGATGGTCCAGAAAATTCCATCTCTGGCTCAACGGCACACTCTGCCCGTTCTACCCGTTTCTCGAGCCTCAGCGGCATTCCCAGAACATTCCGTCGCGTCGGGGCCAGCTGAAGGTCACGCTTGCTTTAGACTCAGGGTCGGATTAGGAATATCATGACATTAACATAATAGTATATTCCTATCAACTCATCAAAAATCATAGATATATCAACATTTTCTAATCGACTTTAAGAAAATCATTATGATCTGTTAAAAGATTTATCCCATGAAATTCTTGATTGTTTTAATATCTTATATTAATGCAATTCAAATTGTTTTCCATAGAATATTTGATTGTCATTATTAAATTCTAGGATATCTACTTTTTCATGTTTAGTAGCTGCATTCTTATTTCATACATAGGGGAGAGTAGGGCAAAATGGTCCCTTTAACAATTTTTAGGCTAAATATACCAAAACAACGGAATATTTAATTATGGTTTAATAAAACGAACATACCGAAACATAGTTTTTTAAAAACATGGTTCCTAATGATAAAAACAACAGAAAAAAAATGTAATTCTTAAAAAGCTCTACAGGAACCATTTTAAACCATCCTCAGGGTAAAATGACTTTCCTCATGGGGTAAAATAACTCCTATATTTTTTTTGTCAAGCAAAAGAAAAAAAGTTAAATTTTATTTGCTAAAATCGCAAATATGGTGTTTCTGCTTTCCTGTAACACCCGCTTACAATGAATGAGACCATTTTTTGCACAAATTGTACATAATCCAAACCTCCTTCGCCTGCGATTTACTGACTAATTTCAAGCAAAATATACAGGCGGCGTCGTCTTCATCAAAACTTACCCCTTTATTTTCTTTCTTTTTTCCAAACACTTTTCGGCTTATGGCTTTTCTAGCTGCTTGTGAAGTTGACCTGACTTTTTATTTTACTAAAAGATAGTTTGGTGTGGAGGTAAAAACTGTTGCTCCTTGACAAGATGTTGAACGACTCGTCTGAGGAGGTGCCTGAGGTAGTGGAGATGTATCCTATGGGGTTACTAAGGTATCCTCCAACGAAGATGGAATTTAATGCCATGTATCGCCGACTTTCGGTTTGGAAGTGTTAACTTAGGAATTTGGGTTTAAACTACCGACTGCAAGCTTATACTTTCAACTTTATTATTTGAAGCAACAACTTCCGGGTTTGACACTGCAGTGCATGAAGTTTTATTTTCTGATGAGTCCCCTGCATTGTTATCAAAAAGAATGACTTCATCTGAAGATTGTCCACTTGTCTCCCATTCCTCTGACTCAGGGATTGGAGCACCAGTTTCATTCTTCCACTATAGCGTGATCTGTTTTGCAGGATGGTTTAAATTTCCAATCTGGGAATATATTCGGATTAAATGGACATATTTCTGTTTTTTCAAATCCACTGAGTCCGTTGTTATACAGCGTTAACACTTTTCCAGGGTTCGTTTTAAGCCATAAAATAACTTCTTCATTAAAATATGCCATTAGACTTTTTATCTTTCGAAAATCTATGGCTAATACTATTCCTCTCCGCAAGCTCGTAGACCATTTGGCAAATGTTTTTTTCTTCATGCCGAACAGTCGATCTTCAATCTCTAAAACATACTCCTTTAAGTAAGTTTCCTATTCATTGGGCAATGTTGTAGTGAATCTACCAACGATGTTTGTGTAACCTTTGGCCTAAAAAAAAGTACGATGATTAGCCGAACTTTCCCTTCTTAGGTACATTTTAAAACTACATAGCGAAATATTAGGAATAAAGCAGTCTAAGTACTCAGGGACAGATTATAAAAGGCATTAGAAATGTCTTCTAAGGCAAGCCGCATTGAATTCGGATCCCATCCTTGTTTTGTTGTTTTCCGAATGTACGTTTTAACCATTATTTCTGAAAAGATGATATACATTCGACTATTATAAAATGTTTTCCTTTCAACTTTATTTGGACGGCTAAGTGAAAGTAAAATGGACCCTGGGGTCATTTTGCCTCAACATGAAAAAACCAGTTTACCTCAAAGCGTAACAATCATACAAATGAATTATTAGTTACTCCTTACTCCTTATCATTAAAGCAATGGCAACAGACCGAAAATGCACGAAATTAACAAAATCACATGCGATTTTATAAGTTATGATTAAACTAGTCCTCTACGATTCGTACATCTTCACAACTTCGTACACAGGTAGCGATAGTAATACTGAATGTAGTAAATACAGCTAAACGGCAGTTTTCTATGAGTTATGAGAAATATTCTCGTATTAGGGGACCATTTTAGCCAATTTTCCCCTAATTTATAATAATTTAAAAATGGACCAACATATCTTTGTAACGAATCTGTTAATATTATTTAACAGATATTTTAAAGTTTATATTTAATAGCCCTTTAAAAGAATATTTAACTTTTTCTATAAAATAAACATTGTTACGCCAGTACAAAATTCATTGAATAATATTTAAATTTACTAAAGTTAAAATATTAGAAAAACTTAAAATAATATACGAATAATCACCGAACAATAAATAATAATAACCCTTTATACATCATTTGTAAATTTTTTGCCAGCTCTTTTCTAGATAAATAATATGCTTCATGTCCGACACTCAAGCTTTTTGTTATATAGTCTTAAAAATCACTTTTTCTAAGCATATGTCAAACGGCTTGTGTGAGAAAATGGTGGCAAATTGCGTACATTTTTCCAGCAACTTTCCTATGTTCTAAAAATTTGAAGATCACGCTCTACACTCAAGCCATTATTTTTTTATGAGCTTTCAAATTCATAACTTTTAATAGCAAAAAATTTCGTTGATGGGAAAATAACTGAAAAATCGAAAAAATTTCTGATAAATTTTCCAACCCCAATTGTCCACTCGCGCCACTCAAGCCAATATATTTTTTGAGGTAGTGACGATATACGTATTCATACTCTCGATTGGCTTGTGTGGAAAAATCAGTTAAAATCTCAATTTTTCCTTACAAAATTACGACCTTTGGTTTTCTGAAGCCAAGTTTTATTAATTAATCATTCAGTGAACACGGCTCGCGTGGAAATATGAGCAAAAAAATGTCTTGTTTATGTTAAGGAAAATCGAATTTTCCATATGTTATCCCCAGGGACCATTCGTAAATTTCCTTTCATTCTACTCAACATCGATGTACTTATCAACCCTCTTCGAGGCTTGTATGCGAAAATGGGGCACCTAAATCAGTCATTATCTGACGGTCTATTATAGATGCTTGAAATAAAAAGCGTTTATAAGAAATTATTATATAGTACGGTATACAGTATTGGCCATCGAAGATTTTTCAATGCCCCTTTGCACAAGTGCGTATAAAAACTACAGAGAGCAAGCACTAGGGCAAGCAGGAAAGAAACAATACTGGCAATGCCAGCCTACACGGCCTTAGTAACATTTAAATGCGGTCAATTTGTATAAATGGCAACGTTGATATCATTCCTTTTATGATCGCTCCAAGCTCCAATGACTACTTCCTGTAGCTTTTACAAGCACTTGTGCATCGCGTATTGGAATAAATTGAGTAGCCGACAGCGTAAGTATAACATCTATTTCAACTTAACACGATTGGCTTAGTAATGTGATCATTCGAATGGTAAATCATTCGAATATTCGATTAATATCATCATTGGAATTAATTCGATTATACCAATATCATTCGAATCATTTGAAATGTCTGAAATTATAATAAACGAACGAGAGTCACGTGGGGTCATATTTTAAAACTATGAGAGTACTCAAGTCTGTTCCAACAACGATAAGAAATTAGTCACCGACACCAGGATTCTGCGCAAAATTATATACTGCTACTGCGCAGTAATTTGTGGTTTGTTTCTAATCGTTGTTGGAACAGACTTTCTAAGCTTGAAAGCGAATAATAGGGTAATTAATTTATAGAGTAAACTAATTTACTCACAATCGGTTAGTAATATATTGATTCAAACCCTTCTAAAGTCGGGGAGCGACTTATTACTTATTTTACTTTCCCAGCTAGCCGGGAAGTAACTTTCCCGGCTAGCATGTGTCACTTTCCCGGCTAACAAATGTCGCTTACTAACTGCTCTGGAAAGGTAACATTTGCTTCGGTCTCGCGTTCCTAAATGGTACCTTTAGTCTTTTCATACTGCTCTCTGCTTCTTTCCAGAATAATGTCCTAGGTAGCTTTTTGCAGTTCTGGTGGGGTACGTTAAAGTTTTAACTGTCGGGCACTTTTGCAAGTATATAAAGTTAATTTTATTATTAAAAGTGCCATTCAATACGAAACTGGCCAATTAATTATCTGTCAGATTCAAGGATTCAACCAACTTGTTATATTGCTTAGCAAGCAACGATTTCATAGGTATCTATGTTAAACAGTTTTATAAACTTATGATAGAAATTATTACCATTGTTATTATTTAAAACGTATATAAAATAGGAGATTGTGAGTAATTAATGTCTAATTCTAGCCTCGCTTAGCTGTAATATAGTACTTTACCGCTCATTATGTAATAATATACTATTATTCTTTGACAACATTTTTATCCAGTCCACTGACCTGTCTAGAGCAAATTGTAAACTAGCGTATGGAATCTTCCCTTCCACAGACTGGATGTTAGCCTTCTCTCCCGTTTCGAAAACTTCCACAAACCACTTCAGGAGTCCTATACAAGCGGTCAAGCGAAAATCTTCCAGAAAAAAGTTGTAATGGTCTGGAAAACCTAAAAAATTGAAGATTTTTTACTTCAAGAAACTGTTTCTATAAATTATTCAAATAGTAGACATCAACAGGAAAACAAATAATATAACTTACCTAAGACGTACGTCCTGGGAAAATTCACAGAGGCCACACCGGTCTCGTTGTACCAATAAGATTGTTGCAAGAGAAGGGCCAGTCCTTCTTTAGACGCAAAGAGGGATCTGCTGAACCGATTGATTAATTTAAATGGGTTCGCTCTTTGCTGCATATCGCATTGATCCTTTCTCATACTCCAGTAGAAGTCTACATCGTAACTTTGCAATAGTCTAGATATAATCTGCGAAATAAAAACAATTATTTGATTTTATAGATAGCTACACAGTCTCCTTAAATAATGTGCCATCTCATATAATATGACACTATACACATAACGTTGCCAAGCCTTTTGGCGATGTTTTCTAAAGGAACGTAATAACCAGGGCTCGCTCCAAGGCCGGACAACCCGGACATTTGTCCGGGGCGGCATTTTCACTGTAAGAATGTGACAAAATATTATAACTATTAAAATATTAATAATAATAGCATGCCGCCTTTCATTTGTAAAAACATTTCTCAACACTGTTTTTATAAGAAAGTTAAAATACTTGTTTTTCATCCATATAGTTGTAAAAAAATAGGTACCTAATTACGAAAAAATAAATATTCAATAATAATTATTAAAAAAGGAACACGAGTGTTTAAATTAGGAATAGACAAGAAATTACTTGTTTATTGTCTTCAATTATAATATAAAAGAGCTGCCTTATAATAGCATAGCATTATTTTTGCTAATTCGTCGGTGGTGATAACAAGCGCAACTCTCAATTATATATACTATTGTGGTTCAATAATCAGTATGATTTGTAATTTTTTTTAAGGTAAGTTAACCGTAAACTTAGCGAATCTACGAAATTTAGGGTATTTTGATCAGTAAAAGGCAAAAATTATTAAAAAAAAAACAAACTTTCGTTTAAACATAATCTTTTTCAAGGTAGGTATTTAAAGAAGCTCCTTCTCAGATTGAAATTAAATTTTGAAAACGATTTTTAAACAAAACAGATAAATTAATTAAAGGGTTAACAGAATTGTTTTGTCACGAGTTAAAACCCTAGATTTTGGTACTGGTGCCCTCCTCCTAATGTTAGTAGCAATACTGGAGCCATACCAAAAAATTTTAGACCAAAAATAATAAGTTCGAAGAAAAATCAATTAGACGAAAATACAGGGGTGAAGACAAACCGAAGGACGGGTGAACTGAGTAGCCTTAATCTCGATAAATATTCACTTCCTAAAGACGCCAACAAAAATAAACTCGTCAAAATAGTCGATAATAATGAATTCCAGATACAAGTCACAGAACATTGACCTGCCGACTCATCACATTTCACATGGTCAAAGGATTAGCCACGAAATCACGGCCGACCAATGTCCACCGATGTCAGCATTTATTTTTAGTATAAATAGATTGCCAATTAATATTATTTTTTAGTCTGATATACAGGGTGTCCTTAAAATGTGTCCCAAAATTCTCAGGCAGATTCCTTAACCAAAAAATGGAAAAAAAGTTCCTATAGACCTATGTCCTAAAGTGCCCCCTAAGCGAGAAACAGCCTCTCGAAATCATTTTTTTTATTTTGATTTTTTGAATTTTCTTAAAAATGGAAACAAATAAATGAACCAAATTTTGCCTGTTAAATATGATCAATAATAGTGACCTTTTGACACCTTCAAAAAGAAATTATTTCGTCAGGGGTGTACTTGGGAATTTTTTGAAAATTTTGATTATTCATAACTTTTTTGTGTTTTTGGTAATGACTTATCCATATTTTTTTTTACATTCTACATTGAAAACTACGTCAAAAAGGAATACTTGTTTGATCTCGATTGGAGCAGCCGTTTCCGAGAAAACATCATCCAAAGATATTCGTCCACTTTAGCTTAATTTTCAATTTTCCTAAATTACCTCGGTGAATCTCGTAAATAAAAATAACTTTTTTAGCTCTCTCTAAATAATTGTAGTTCAAATGTTGTGGTGGGACTATTTTTATTTAATAATAAGAAACGGTTTAAAAAAATATTTATTCTAAAAAAACAAATCAAAAAAAATTAAAGCAGATGCTCAATGTGGCGACCATTGGTTTCCACACACAAGCGCAACCGTCGCATCATAGACTGTCTTACACGAAAAAATACTTCAGGATTATTCCTAAGAACTTCGCAATGATGAAAAACTCGTTCTTCCAATTCTTCAACTGTTTCAACAGGACTGGAATAAACCAATGATTTTAAATAACCCCAAACAAAAAAATCCATTGGATTTAGATCTGGTAACCGAGGTGGCCAGTTAACAGGACAACCTCTGCCAATTACTCTACCCTCAAATCTTTCGTTAAGGTGCTGTCTAGCTTCAAGGCTGTAATGTGGTGGAGCTCCATCATGCATAAACCACATGTTATGTCTGATTTGAATCGGAATATTATCAAGAAGCTCATGTAAGTTGTTTTCCAAAAAAAGCCTGTATGCTGCTCCATTTAACCTATTCGGCAAAACAAATGGTCCAATAAGGTAATTATCAATAACTCCAGCCCAGACGTTTATTGAAAATTTATCCTGGTGGTGACGTTCAACAACCGCGTGAGGGTTATCTTCAGCCCATTCATGCATATTTCGAAAATTTATTATACCATCTCTAGTGAAACCAGCTTCATCGGTAAATAGCACTTTATTAAGAAACATTGCATCTTGATTACATCTTCCAAGAAACCATTCAGAAAAGATAACTCGCGGCTCATAATCAGTAGCTTTAAGTGCCTGAACTTTTTGAATGTGGTAAGGGTACAATTGTTGTTCACGCAAAACTTTCCATACCGTGTTACGTTCGACTCCCACTTCTGAAATTAAATGAGAGAATCTGTGTAGTGAATAGTTAAGAAAGAGAATCCATTGATTTGGGAAATCAGATTTTTTCTGCATAACGCAACTCTTTTCGATACGAAAAGTCGTGAAATGTAAGAGAAGCAATAACAAGTAAAAAAACTAGTTTTATACGATAAGGTACGGGGTAGCTAAAATAATAAATAAGTAATTACTTATCATTTGCTATTTTTCTGGTACTTGTCGATGGGGTTTCAGCTACCCTATCCAAAATTGCTTCTTCCAAAGCAGGAGTTCTCACATAATTTTGTCTTCCACTGTTACTAGAGTTTTTCTTAAATGTACCAGTTTCCCAAAGTCTATCGTCAATTCTAGAAAACGTCTTAGCGCATGGAAGATGCCTATTTGGAAAGCGCTCCTGATAAAGTCTGCGAGCTTCATTGGCATTTCCAGAAGCGAGTCCAAAACATAAGTGCATGTCCGTCATTTCGCCGAATGTGTAATCATTATTGTAGCTATTGTGAGCCATTTTAAACAAAATAATAACAATACAACGAATCGCACCAGAACACTTTTAGAAATAATGTTTAACTGAAGAAACATTTTTATCAGTGAGCGAAAAAAATTATCCATGAAACACAAAAACGCCAAAAAAATACATATTTTTACTTTTTTATTCTAAACAGCTAAATACAAACCTTATGGTCTTCATAATAAATAAATGGGAACTAAATTTTTAAATTTTATTTAGAGAGCTAAAAATAGTATACAGGGTGATTGATTAGTGTGAGGAAGCTCTGTAGATCTGTTATAATAAAAGTAGGCAGCTTTAAGCTTCACATTTTAAAATTAGTTACGATGTGACAGGGTGTTTCATAAGGCCGTGCCAAATCAAAGTTGTTTTTTAAATGGAACACCCTGTATATTTTTATATTTTTAGAATCTGCTCGATAATCTGATTTCAATGATATATCACACTTGTTATCTAATATGAATAGTAAAGGATCTACAGCTACTCAAAAATCACATTTTTTCAAATTCAGGTGGCTGCTGTAGCCAAACAGTTGAAAATCGAGGAAAACGGCTTACAGTCCCTATCCTAACTTTTGAAGGTCTATTCAGTGACATAAAATACATATTATTTGATACAGGGTGATCAAAAATCCAAAATCACATCCGATTTTTGATCACCCTGTATCAACTAATATTTTTTGCCACTGAATAGACCTTCAAAAGTAAGGATAGGGACATGTAAGCCGTGTTCCTCGATTTCCAACTTTTTGGCTACAACAGCCAAAATTGAAAATTAACCTAAACTGCACGAATATCTTTGGATGATGTTTTCTCGGAAACGGCTGCTCCAATCGAGATCAAACAAGTATTCCTTTTTGACGTAGTTTTCAATGTAGAATGTAAAAAAAAATATGGATAAGTCATTACCAAAAACACAAAAAAGTTATGAATAATCAAAATTTTCAAAAAATTCCCAAGTACACCCCTGACGAAATAATTTCTTTTTGAAGGTGTCAAAAGGTCACTATTATTGATCATATTTAACAGCCAAAATTTGGTTCTTTTATTTGTTTCCATTTTTAAGATAATTCAAAAAATCAAAATAAAAAAAATGATTTCGAGAGGCTGTTGCTCGCTTAGGGGGCACTTTAGGACATAGGTCTATAGGAACTTTTTTTCCATTTTTTGGTTAAGGAATCTGCCTGAGAATTTTGGGACACATTTTAAAGGACACCCTGTATATTTTACTTTGTATTTATAATCTAAAAATGTTCAAAAATAAAATTATTAGTTTTTAAAAAGTAAGTTTAAAAGTCAAAACTCGTAATTGGCGTAGTCAGTAGGATAGTGAAGGAGTTTTGTTAAAATATACAAATAATTTTGTATCATTGTTTCCTAATTTTTGTTTCATTACAATCAAATATTTTCATAAAATAAATACAAACTATCTCAAAATAAAATTAATTTTAGGAACGACCAACGTTTTAAAACACCCTGTATACTATTTTTGACTTACGTAGAGTTATGAGAATACGATATTAATTATCATTTAAACGTTTTTTATGAATTGATTTCAATTAGGGGAATATAACATTTTGTGGTTACCATGACCCGGCGACCAGGTGGTAAATTACAAACTTTCAAATATCTCGAAAACGGTTACTATTTTAAAGATTAAAGTAATATAACTTTTTTATTTAATTTAATACGTAAATTGTTAATTAATGAGGGACAAAAAATTTTAAGCTGTTTTCTTCTCTTCAATATGGCGTATTACTTACATATTTTATATTTTCATCAATGCCTATTACTATTGTATCTAATATTCAGCGCAAACCGCGTTGGCACGACACTGGACGACCACGCGTTGAGCGACGTTCAGAGAATGCCAAAATTAAGTGGAAGATAGGCGAGGGCACAGTAAATGTGTGCCTCTGTTGTTTTCTCTCTCATTATAACGCGAAAAACAAGGACAATGACAATATCGCTTAGCGAGAGATGAACAGATGCGGTGGATTATACGTCACAAGTGAGGCGCTGTCATCGTAACTTGCTGTACCGATGGTTCGGTTTATTTATATACCTTCAATTAGCGCTGCCGGGTGGTTTTGCTTGGGGCGGCCGATGCGGAATTTGTAGATTGAGCAAATAAATATTACACAAAAACGTACGTTTAAACGAAGTTTTAATAGAACAATTTACGAGAAGTATTCGTGACTGTGTGGTTGCGAAGTGACAAACAAATTTTATTGTTTTCCGTGTATTTTGGCATCCAGTTGCAAACAATCTAGTGTGGGTGACTTTAGTTGCTATTCAAAATATTAGAAATAATATAAACCTGGTAATTCATGAAGAATGGCAATCACAACAAGATCCACAAGAACTAAACTTAAACGACAACACCCAATCAGGTACAAGTACAAGTAAGAAGCGACGGTTTGTTGAAAAGGAGGACCCCATTCCTAATTTAAGGATATGTAAGGACATTTGTGATACAATAGTAGTGCAGGTAAATGAACGATTAGTTTTACTACCCACCTAACAATTGCAAGTTTATTTGATAGTGAAAAATTTAAAGATTATCGAGGTTGTTTTCCAAATGAGGACGTTAAAACTGTGTGTAGTTTACTTCCAAACGTAAACAACTTAAAATTAGAAAACAAACTGTCCATACTTTACACTCGAGATGACTTTGTGCAACACAATGGGGCCGTACCGTTATTACAAATGTTTTTTGAGAACAATTTGACAATTACATTTTCGAAATCTGTGGAGCTGCTAACTATCCTGTGTACAATTCCCATGACTACAGTGGAGAGTGAAAGCTGTTTTTCGACACTAAAACGTATTAAAACATTTTTAAGGAACACTATGTGCCAAGATAGATCGTGCGCGTTAGCCATGTTATCCATCGAAAAAAAACTTATTCGGTCCATTCCAAATTTTAATAATCTGGTCATCGATCACTTCGCTAGCCAAAAATCCAGAAGAATGGACTTCAACTATAAGAAATAGTATACAACTGCAGCGGTACCTAGCAGTAAGTCTTTAATTTTGTAATATTAATTTTTTTTTGAAATATATTTAATTTTCATTAAGCGGAGAACTTATTTTCCTAAGGGAAAAACGAATTCCGGGACTCCTTTCCAGTGTGTGCCCCACTGCCGCTAGTGCCCACGAGCCGCCATTGATATTGAGGTGTCCATATTGGAATTTTCGGATATGTTATGGATAGTTTATAGAACCTTTGGGGAAAATGGAGTAGTGAGATGGTAGGCCGACATTAAACAAAATAAATGAAAATAAAATTGAATCAACAAACCATTTTTTCGCATTTTTGTTCATAAAACTGTGTAGACTCCCAATCTTGCTTGGCAGGAAGGTTACTTGTAACGTCTTCCAAAGTAGAAAACTTTTGCTTTATGGCAGGTTCGATTTTTTCTAACCAGCTCCTTTTCGCTAATTCTCTTCTTATAACTGGCCAGCCACCTATTAATCAAAAATTAATTCATTACATCGTGTTTTTCTATTTTAAATGAAAGAGGAAAATGTACGTAATGATAAATCTGATGTGTCCCTTTGAAGTCGATTTAATTTAAATTTTAAGATTGAGAAAATCGATATTTTTATGAAAACATATTTTGGAAAAATGATAACTATCAGAGAAAACACATTATTTCGAGATTTAGCTATTTTATTTTTAGGAAACTCAAATTTCTTTTTAAAATCTAATGCATCCTTTTATAAACAGCAAGACTTTTCCAATATTTACCTCTGATGGTAAAGATTTTGTGGTCTCTGACAGCGACTTCGATCATTCTTTTGAGTTGCATGAGGCGTTCTGATGAAATTGTGAATTTGGGCTTGCTCTCTACAAAGCTGTTAGATTTTTTTGGTTGAATTAAGCCGGAACTGTCATCTGATGATTTTTGATGATTGTTATCTGCGGAAGTAACTCTGGGTGCGGTGGGGGATCTAAAAAATATAAACAATAACAATAAACGGAATAGATAAAAAAATAATTCGTTTAGTAACATTTTTTTATATTTAAAAGATGAGAGCCGGGAATTAATGTTTATAGTAACAATAAACAAAAAGTCTTACTAAATAATAGATGGTCTTAGGATAAGTATAAGTTAGTTAAATCGACATTTCAACATAATAGGCCAGTCATTAGAGAAAATCAATTTTTGCATTAATTACAAAATTATTCAAACTTTGTTGGGATATTTATTAAATTGAAATAATTGTAAATTTAATTTGGCAACTTTTTCTAAGATCCGCAACATATTAATAATTCCAAAAAATTTAAATTTATTATAACTTTCTTGAAAAAATTGCAAAAGTGTTGCAAATATACTGTAATATTTTCAACATTATATCAGATTTTCAACTTTTTTGAAAGTCCGCAACATGATTTTTTTTTAAAAAAGTGTTTTTGTTTATATCATAGACCAGCGTTACTGGGGTTTCGCAATTTTTTTGTGGAAGTTCCGCGAAGAAAATCATATTCATGAACCAAAAAATTTTTTGATTTTGCATGAAGACCTTTTTTTTAGAAATGTGTGTTTAGGGATCTGTCAAAGATTTCGCTTTTCAAAAAGGTTTCGTCGCCAAAAAAGTTTGAAAACCACTGTTATAAACAAAAAATTGCAAAAGTGCTGCAAACCCATGACATACAAGTTTTTGGAACAGCTATTCCAATTTGCAACCTTTTATTTTGCACGAAAATATTTTTTTTGTAAAAATATCAAAATAATTTTTTATTTTCCTCTAATTTTGTCAAAAAAAAAATGCAAAAGTTTTGAAAATTGGTTGCAAATATAAATATTACTTTGTTAACAATCTGGTAAATTTGCAACCTCGGACAACGTCCGGAACCTTGAAAAATTAACAAAAATCAACAATTCGTACATTTTGCAGTTGCCAAAAAATTTGAAAAGTATTGCAAATTTTACAGAACGATTTAAATAAATAAATGCAAATTTGCAACGCTCCAAGATTAATGCAACGATTGTAAATTGTCTATGACCAATTTTGCATTCGTATTAATTCGTATTAATTCGTATTCATTCGTATTCATTCGTATTCATTCGTATTCATTCGTATTCATTCGTATTCATTCGTATTCATTCGTATTCATTCGTATTCATTCGTATTCATTCGTATTCATTCGTATTCATTCGTATTCATTCGTATTCATTCTTATTCATTCTTATTCATTCTTATTCATTCTTATTCATTCTTATTCATTCTTATTCATTCTTATTCATTCTTATTCATTCTTATTCATTCTTATTCATTCTTATTCATTCTTATTCATTCTTATTCATTCTTATTCATTCTTATTCATTCTTATTCATTCTTATTCATTCTTATTCATTCTTATTCATTCTTATTCATTCTTATTCATTCTTATTCATTCTTATTCATTCTTATTCATTCTTATTCATTCTTATTCATTCTTATTCATTCTTATTCATTCTTATTCATTCTTATTCATTCTTATTCATTCTTATTCATTCTTATTCATTCTTATTCATTCTTATTCATTCTTATTCATTCTTATTCATTCTTATTCATTCGTATTCATTCGTATTCATTCTTATTCATTCTTATTCATTCTTATTCATTCTTATTCATTCTTATTCATTCGTATTCATTCGTATTCATTCGTATTCATTCGTATTCATTCTTATTCATTCTTATTCATTCTTATTCATTCTTATTCATTCTTATTCATTCTTATTCATTCTTATTCATTCTTATTCATTCTTATTCATTCTTATTCATTCTTATTCATTCTTATTCATTCTTATTCATTCTTATTCATTCTTATTCATTCTTATTCATTCTTATTCATTCTTATTCATTCTTATTCATTCTTATTCATTCTTATTCATTCTTATTCATTCTTATTCATTCTTATTCATTCTTATTCATTCTTATTCATTCTTATTCATTCTTATTCATTCTTATTCATTCTTATTCATTCTTATTCATTCTTATTCATTCTTATTCATTCTTATTCATTCTTATTCATTCTTATTCATTCTTATTCATTCTTATTCATTCTTATTCATTCTTATTCATTCTTATTCATTCTTATTCATTCTTATTCATTCTTATTCATTCTTATTCATTCTTATTCATTCTTATTCATTCTTATTCATTCTTATTCATTCTTATTCATTCTTATTCATTCTTATTCATTCTTATTCATTCTTATTCATTCTTATTCATTCTTATTCATTCTTATTCATTCTTATTCATTCTTATTCATTCTTATTCATTCTTATTCATTCTTATTCATTCTTATTCATTCTTATTCATTCTTATTCATTCTTATTCATTCTTATTCATTCTTATTCATTCTTATTCATTCTTATTCATTCTTATTCATTCTTATTCATTCTTATTCATTCTTATTCATTCTTATTCATTCTTATTCATTCTTATTCATTCTTATTCATTCTTATTCATTCTTATTCATTCTTATTCATTCTTATTCATTCTTATTCATTCTTATTCATTCTTATTCATTCTTATTCATTCTTATTCATTCTTATTCATTCTTATTCATTCTTATTCATTCTTATTCATTCTTATTCATTCTTATTCATTCTTATTCATTCTTATTCATTCTTATTCATTCTTATTCATTCTTATTCATTCTTATTCATTCTTATTCATTCTTATTCATTCTTATTCATTCTTATTCATTCTTATTCATTCTTATTCATTCTTATTCATTCTTATTCATTCTTATTCATTCTTATTCATTCTTATTCATTCTTATTCATTCTTATTCATTCTTATTCATTCTTATTCATTCTTATTCATTCTTATTCATTCTTATTCATTCTTATTCATTCTTATTCATTCTTATTCATTCTTATTCATTCTTATTCATTCTTATTCATTCTTATTCATTCTTATTCATTCTTATTCATTCTTATTCATTCTTATTCATTCTTATTCATTCTTATTCATTCTTATTCATTCTTATTCATTCTTATTCATTCTTATTCAATAATATTCATTAATATTCATTAATATTCATTAATATTCATTAATATTCATTAATATTCATTAATATTCATTAATATTCATTAATATTCATTAATATTCATTAATATTCATTAATATTCATTAATATTCATTAATATTCATTAATATTCATTAATATTCATTAATATTCATTAATATTCATTAATATTCATTAATATTCATTAATATTTATTAATATTCATTAATATTCATTAATATTCATTAATATTCATTAATATTCATTAATATTCATTAATATTCATTAATATTCATTAATATTCATTAATATTCATTAATATTCATTAATATTCATTAATATTCATTAATATTCATTAATATTCATAAATATTCATTAATATTCATTAATATTTATTAATATTTATTAATATTCATTAATATTTATTAATGTTCATTAATGTTCATTAATATTCATTAATATGCATTAATATTTATTAATATTCATTAATATTCATTAATATTCATTAATATTCATTAATATTTATTAATATTCATTAATATTTATTAATATTCATTATTATTCATTAATATTCATTAATAATAATTAATATTCATTAATATTCATTAATATTTATTAATATTCATTAATATTCATTAATATTCATTAATATTCATTAATATTCATTAATATTCATTAATATTCATTAATATTCATTAATATTCATTAATATTTATTAATATTCATTAATATTCATTAATATTCATTAATATTCATTAATATTCATTAATATTCATTAATATTCATTAATATTCATTAATATTCATTAATATTTATTATTATTCATTAATATTTATTAATATTCATTAATATTCATTAATATTCATTAATATTCATTAATATTCATTAATATTCATTAATATTTATTAATATTCATTAATATTCATTAATATTCATTAATATTTATTAATATTCATTAATATTCATTAATATTCATTAATATTCATTAATATTCATTAATATTCATTAACATTCATTAATATTCATTAATATTCATTAATATTCATTAATATTCATTAATATTCATTAATATTCATTAATATTCATTAATATTCATTAATATTCATTAATATTCATTAATATTCATTAATATTCATTAATATTCATTAATATTCATTAATATTCATTAATATTCATTAATATTCATTAATATTCATTAATATTCATTAATATTCATTAATATTCATTAATATTTATTATTATTCATTAATATTCATTAATATTTATTAATATTCATTAATATTCATTAATATTCATTAATATTCATTAATATTCATTAATATTTATTAATATTCATTAATATTCATTAATATTCATTAATATTTATTAATATTCATTAATATTCATTAATATTCATTAATATTCATTAATATTCATTAACATTCATTAATATTCATTAATATTCATTAATATTCATTAATATTCATTAATATTCATTAATATTCATTAATATTCATTAATATTCATTAATATTCATTAATATTCATTAATATTCATTAATATTCATTAATATTCATTAATATTCATTAATATTCATTAATATTCATTAATATTCATTAATATTCATTAATATTCATTAATATTCATTAATATTCATTAATATTCATTAAGATTCATTAATATTCATTAATATTCATTAATATTCATTAATATTCATTAATATTCATTAATATTCATTAATATTCATTAATATTCATTAATATTCATTAATATTCATTAATATTCATTAATATTCATTAATATTCATTAATATTCACTAATATTTTATTCTTATTATTTTTAAAATAGTTTTCTTTTAAACATCAAAAATTATTTGGTTACAGAACTCTAACTACTTTTTACGACATAAAAAAATATTAAAGAAGAACTAGAAACGTATATGTCAAATTTCAGATTGGTTAGCTTTGTCATTGAAATACAAATACGTCACACTAATAAAGCGTATAAATTACAAGAGCTGTTTCTGTGATTTAAATTATGAAATAATTTAACAAAATTACGACAGTGACCTAAACATTTTGTAAATATTCTAATTTTATAAAATCTTCCATAAACAAAAAAGATACCTCTACACTGTTATCAAATGTCTGTCTGTGAAGCCAATACAGGGTGTTCCAATGAAAAGTAGCCCATTTCCAGAGCTTTTAAACGTGTGGTTTTTGCTATAAGTTTTACTTGAGTGACACATAAATTATGTATTACCTATACAGGGTGTTTTTTAAAAATCTCCTTTTTTAAATTCATCGTAACCAAATTTTATCAAATGGAATACCCTGTGTATGTTTAGGTCATCTGAAAGACTCTTACTTTTCAAAAATGTATAATTTGTACATGGTATTTTACAAAATAAATTTGATAACGTTTGGTTACGGTGAATTTAAAAGAGGAGATTTTTAAAAAACACCCTGTAGTAATACATAATTTCTTTGTCACTAAACCAAAACTTATAGCAAAATAACACATATCAGCGAAAACCGCACGTTTCTACGATTAGGCTCTTAAAAGTTATAAGCTCTGGAAACGAGCTACTTTTCATTGGGACACCCTGTATTTACTTTCATTTCTTATTTCATTCACAAAAGCCTTTTTGTTAATTTTGTTTCACTTCTTAAAATTTTTTGATCCCGTATCTCTATCTGTAACGTGTGGAGAGCGAGTTAACCTTCAGCACTTAGGCTTAATCTGTCCCATTGTACATCCTCCTAAGTCGATAGGCACCTCCTAGCTCTTGAGCCAGCCTACAGATTTGATGTAGTTGACAACGTCGCTAAGAGGTACTTCTCTTATATTGGCCGATATTCTCGTCAAACGCAAAGCTTCTAATAAATAAGAGTGTCGAGCAATCGTAGAGGATTTGCTCGATGGTCTCATTTTATTTGCACCCCTTGCAGAATGCGGATTCTGACAGCCCCATGCAATGGGGGTGCTTCCGTATTAGATAATTACCTGTCAGAATCCCTGTGATCAGATTTGATTTGAAAGGAGTTGGACATTATTTGTCATTGTACACCGCGATCTTTTTGCATCTATTGTGGGACTCCGTTTTTAAGAGTATCTCATCTAGCTTGGTCTTTTTTATTAGACTTAGTAGCTTTGACGGTAGCTTTCACATATAGTTGTAAGCGTCTGGCCTTTCTTCGCCTAATGTTAGAAACTTCAAGCATACATACTAGCACAGGATGTGGATTCATATTTTATCTTCTTCTCCACAAAACCTGCACAATGTTGCTTCTTCTGCTGGATTGATGACACTCATGTGTCTTCTTAGGCGACAGTGTCTGGCAAGAAGACAGACAGACCTACTATTGTCCAAACAATTTGATGTTTTTGATTCAGTAGGTCTTTCGTGAACGTAGCCGATGGTTTCTTGATGAATTGTTTCCGGACTTGGCAATGAAAATTCAGAATGCCTGTGATTACGCGTAGATTATGTCTAGTCGTGGTCAAGTATTTGTTTGCTGTAGTGTTGTTAAGATTACTTAAAAGCTCCTTGGCAACATTGCAGCTTCTTATTTTATTCCTTATTCCTTTGAATTTCACAAGGGAATGTTATTTAATTAGGTTTGTTACTACCGATGTTGTCAGTCCAATAGAAGGACTAGATCCAAAAAGTATTTGGTTGAATACCTTCTTGGCTAGTAAAACAGCAAGACCTTTCGATGTAGCGTGACCTTTGATCCATCTTAAAGTGGCTACATTGTTGATGGATACTTTGGGCAAAGCTTCGTCACATTCTAATACTTGTCCTGAATAAATTTGTGGTTTGTCCAGCACAACTTGTCTGCTATCTTTATAGATATGCATGTTTCTTCCAGTGATATTGTTTCTGGTAACTTCTTTTGCTGCTATGAGAATCTCTGTGAGTTTGGTTTGACCTACACGCACTATTGCTCACAGCCCATTTTATGTTAAAATTTAAGAATCTGGATTATATTCCAGATCCTGCGCCTTGTTTTGTTTTGAACCGTCGTCGGTGTAGGTATGATTCCGTATTTGTTTATTAATTTTTCAAAATAGTGCCTACAGCTGGATACTTCTATGAAAATATGAAAATACGAAATGGTCAAGATTATTATTTATCTAAGTAGTAGTTATTTGACCGAATATCTGGGTGTTTTAAAAGAGAATGATTTATCGATTTTCTCTCATAGCTTTATAATTAGTTGGGTTTTCACGAAATATCAAGCTCACCGATAAGGAAATACATAAAATAACTCACACTAGTTAAGTAAAGTGTTACAACTAAGAAGATCGCTAATGTATTCTAATAGTATTCTAAAAATTATTTTAAAATATTATTTATTTAAACTCCGTTTACCTAGGCACTGTTGGTGCAAGTTTGACATCTCCAACCGACACAACTGATGGCAATAATGGTATTGATACCACTCCTATTTCTCTATTCTTTTCTGGATCGATGTTTTCCTCAATATACCTTTTATCTTCCGAGTTTTTCGAGGTGTTTTCTTTAGTTCCAGCTATTTCAGTGCCCATTTTGTGACGTTTCTGAGTGACATTGAAGTGTGACAGTGATTTCGCTTTCCTAGGCAACTGGTTTTGCCGGCCGCTGCCTAGGGTCGACATGTTCTATTGCGTCATTTTCGGCAAATGGGATAGATGAGGGTGTTGTTGCTGCAGGGCTCTAAAAACAACCTACATCTATGATTTGAACTCCTAATCTATAATCTAAACGTTGATGCCTATAGTCTAGAGTCTAGATAACAAAAGAGTGCAGTAATTTAATTTGCAGAACGTAGTGAGAATACCGATCAAGGAGAAGCAACAGTAGCTGTCGGTGCCTTTGATATCGGATGAACCTTTTTCACAGCATGACTTTGATTAATACACAACTTAATACGCTGAGAAAACATGCTTATTTTCTACACTGAGCGAAATAGTTTGGCAAATTATCTGAAATCATTGTTATAGTCCATGCGCAAATGTTGTAATGGGATTTAATTACATTGAAGTAGTTAGGGTTAATAGCAATGGTGAAATTTCGGCACCAAAATATAATTCTTCATGTAATAATTAATTATTTGTTATAAAAGTAAAAGACGTTTATTATTTTATAATTTATCTATAAAATTTGTTCAATATTTGGTTTATTTATTGTTAAAAATGTAATAAAGCCCCATATTTAAATTAAGTTACCTTTTCCTTAAGTAAAAATAGGGTAAATAAAATTAAGGGTACCAAAAAAAATTTAGGTATCAATTAAAAAGACATTAAGTTTGAGAGGTTTAACTAAATATTTGCAATGTGCATATATTTTCAAAGCTTTTAGGTTTAAAAAGTACTTACATATTTTTAGAATTTCTGGATTTATATTATATTAAAATGACTTTCAAGTTTATTACTCATTTTTGTAGAAACAAGTGTTTTCTCGCAAAGATAAGCCAGATGTCATTTAAGGTTTATGTATTTAGAGTTAAATACCTGGCCTAGCTATCACCCAGACAATACAAATTTGTCCATTGGACGTCCATTCGATATACAATTTTAGATGTCTAGACGTACAAAAATGAGTTTTTTCTGAACTTCCGACATCCAATGGACGTCCAGTGAAGTATACAAATGGCACACTTTTGACCATTCAGAGGACGTCCAATTCTGGAATATATTTGGACGTCGAATACTGGATATTCAAAAAATGTCCAGGATTATATTTCCATTGAAACCACATCCCCACTTTTTTTACAGAACCGCAACTCACCACACACTATTTTATATTATTAATAATTTGTTTATTATTTTCGCAAACCGCTATACACCATTTTTTTTTTTTCAATTAAAGATCGCTTGACCTGAAAAGAGATCGAACTCACGACACATCCATTATCGTTTTACGCTTTCAATCGCTAGACGAGCTCGATCGAGGAACCACTTGAAAACTGTTTACTAGATATAGTTATAATGGAATAAGATTTCAAACATCCGCTGATAGAATGAAATGCAATAGATTCAATTTGTTAATTTTTAATGACCAATTATATTAAAAAAAAGAAGTGTATATAGATGGGTATTATCTGGTAGGCTTAATAAATAATGACCTAAGATGGACGTCCACTGGACGTCAAAATACTACTAAACTTAAAATTAAGTCCAAAAACAGACATTCTCTGGGTATTGATATTCAGCTGTCAAATTAATTAGCATAAACGGATGTACACTGGATGCCGGGATATGGACGTCCTGACCCTCAAATGGATCTAAAGTGGACGTCCATTTGACTATGTGTGCTATCTGAGCATAGACGAATTTTTAGAAATATTACTTATTTAGGTGTGTACCAATATTTCCAAAATCAACCCCAGTATGATTCATTCAATAAATGTAAATATGAATGGGCAAAACATTTTTATATTGACATAATTTTAACTTACAATTTAGCCATAATAAAAGGATTTCGCCCACTTTGACCTGCGGATTTATTATATTTTTCTAAATATAATTTCAAAATAAAATAAATAAAATCTGCAGTCATTGTTTATTAAATTTATTTAAAAGAAGACAAACATATATTTCACACAATCTAATACCTACATATGAAAAATAAAATGTCAAAAATGATTAAATCATTATACTTAATATTTATGCATGTGATAAAATTCTTAGTTTCCTAATAACTTTTTTGGCACATTTTATATCTGTATTAGAATACCTAAGTGTGTAAAAAATATTCATCTTATTACTACACAAAACAAACACCAAAAAATATCACTTAACATTGCTCACGTACTAAATACAACTTTGACTGACTTTGACAGATAACATCATTTTGAGTGATACACAACTTATTTTCGCACATGCGCGTTACAAAACGGTACACTGAAAACACCAAGCTGTCGCTTCTCCTTGATCGGTATTCTCGGGTACAGGTTCAAGGGGTAGACATCCTTCAATGCTTATTTTTGTTATTAAAATGAAAATTTTAATACATCTGATCGGCCTATAGTCTGAATAAAAGAGGAGTACAGTGAAAGTGGGGATATAACGTTACATTCCATAGGCGTACTATGCAAAATAAGTTTCTATAATATAAAAAAGGTCACGGCCTATAAAATGGTATATACGCACTTCATAGATTAAATTTTGAATGAAAAAAGTTAAATTATTTACAAAAAATAAAAATAAACCTTATGCTTCTGACAAAATTGTTGAACTTTAACCTTAGAATATAACGAATTGAGGAAGGATGGTTAGGCCAGGTCAGTTAAACGCATTGAGATAGAATAAAGAGGAGATGCTATGACGATGCTAAATTGTCCGCACCTCGATGGTTAAACGAGATAGTTATCCAAAATGGCGACTTAACAGTAGTAATTATCAGTGGTGTATCATGTTTATGATGTTTGATAGTGTGATATTTTTATTAGATTAAAAATTCAGTGAAACAAAGTCTTTTGAAAAGTGGATAATTATATTTCAGGATTTTTACAATTTAACAACATTATTTTGAATGATTTATCAAATTTTTACATAGTCAACTGTTTTGTTTGATGATATTGGATTAATGGAAATAAAATGTAATATAATTGTAAAATATTTTGATGAATGTCTTGGATACAGTCTTGCCCAAGGTTATTTCCAAAATTATCCAAAACAACATTTTCTTCTTCCTTCATAAACGCTTTTTTTTCTTCATTTCCAGCACTATTCTCTTTCAAGATTTGATGACTTTTCTGTTATTTCCCTAATTTAATATTCTCGACTTCATTCTGTGCTTGCAAGTTTTGGTTTCTTCTTGTGAGCTTCTTTTTGCGAGGGCAATCAGGAAGGTTCTCTTCTGACTCTATATGTATGTACAACTTTGATGACAAACAGAAAGTCCAGGAAGAGCTAAAGAAGCTTCATCACAGGTAGTTGTTACCTGTTTAATCAAAGGGTTGTAGGTTCTTACCTGAAAAACACAAAATCTATTTTACATTTACCATTATTAGACAGGTGTCGAAAACTTTTTTCTGCTTAAAATATGTTCTTAACACACACTATAATAGTGTGTATGTAGGCACTTGTGCGTAAAGTAAAATATTTTATTATCTGATTGAGGTATTTATTACTTTTTAAAAGCAAAGGCAGCTTAAAAATATTTTATAGATTTTGTCCAATTTTATCGTCACTTGTCAGTTGAATCGTAGGTACATTTTTGGCAGCAGTACAACAAGAAGAGAGAAAGATCTATCAAAGTAATTTTCTGTAAAATGGAACTGTTTTTTCCAGGATTCCAGTCATCCTTGTTTAAAATCTTGACCTATTCTCTTGTTTTATTTTCTACAAGTGTAAAACTGTAAACTCAACAAAAACGTGTTTTAAATGATCATTACTTTTTGACAGGATCACATTTTAAGTTTGTTAATAATTTACTATTACTATTATTATTAATATTAATTATAGTTAGTACAGCAAATCATAAATTAGTCATGATGACTTTTACACCTTACATTATTTATGAAAATAATAAATTCGCTAAGAAAAATGGTGCATGAAAATAAATTAACAATAAACAGTATTTATGTTTCTGGTAAAAGAGTTGTTTTTATATTGTATGTGTAAAATTAAAAAGAACTCAATGGACGTGCTAACCTAAATGGAGTTTATCAATTTTCTTAATGTTAGTGAAAAGTTGAAATTAAACATTGGTAGATGATGATGATATTAAAGACGATACAGTTATTGGAGAAGGATCACATCCGAAAAAGACCCATGGAAGAAACTTGGGTTAATATACAGGGTGATTCATAACTATTGGGACATAGATTAAGGGCAGGTTATTTAGATCAAAATATGGCGATAGGACCAAATATACCTCAATAAAATATGACTGTGGAATAAGGTACAGGGCGTTAAAGTTGAATTTTTTTTTTCGTTTTTTTCTTATAATCTCACTGTATATTTATGAATTGTTATCAAAATCGGTTCAAAGGCATATCTTTGGACAAGGGATATTATTTTATGTATTATTTCACATTTTTTTACAGGGGGCGCCACGCGAATGATTCCTGATGATGAAATTAAGTGGTAAGTTTTTTTGCCGAAACTTTTTAGTGCTTTTTATTAGAAAATATTACATAAACATCATTTCTACGTAATATTGGTACTCCTGTTTAAACACGATAATTTCACCTGTTTTCGAGAAAAACGCAATTGAACAGTTCAGAGTCTCAGAAGGATATTTCAAAAAATATTTTATTTATGAAAAGTGTGCTTTGGACTGTCAGATAATTATGTCTGGTAAATGTCAGTTCTTGCCAATGAATTATTTTTGCTGTGAGATTATAGTCTATTGTTGCATTTTTTAAAGCTTTTTCGACTGAAATGCCTCGTCAAAATCATTTTACGAATGAAGAAATGCGGGATATGGTTTGTGTATGTGCACAAGAAAATTTATGCGGTCGCATGGCAGCCAGAATGTATGAATTGTTATATCCAGACAGAAGGCAACCAAATCACAAAACTTTTGCAAATCTATTTCATCGTTTGGGTGAAACCGGGTCATTTCATAGTAAAAATCTGGGTGGTCGTCCGAATCAAATCACACCTAATGAAGAAGATGAAATTTTGGTTCGAGTAGATGAAAATCC